GTGAGACGTGCCAGACGTGTTGCGAGTCGTGCAGCCCGTCCTCCATACAGACCCAAAAGCAGCCCGTCCTCCAAACAAAGATCCAAAAGTGATTCCATGCACCCGCTAAACCCTCTGTTTATGAATGAAAAACGGTTTACACACGACTGACAACTGCTGACGTTCGAACACTTCCGGAACAAGTGCTTCACTAACGAATTTTGTTCGAACCACAACGCTATAAATGCTTCACCCACGTACTACAAATACAAATAATCGCCAATATAACCTAAACACCTAACCTAACCTATGCTTATATATGCACAATATGCTAATATATTATATTAATTTATATTTGAGAAAATTGCTGTTTTAAATGAACAGCATGTAAAAATTTATGAATGAATCTGTGGTTAACTATCCTACAAATATCAAAGCTTATCAGATACGGTTGTATCATAATGTATGATAATTAAGTATTATTTACTTACTGGACTTTGTTTGCTGGACTGTACTTGAAATTGTTATATTTTCATTCACATTTAACTGTCAATAATCATTGCTATTTGCCCCCGACATTCCTCTGCTTTACACTGTACGTCCAGATACCTCTAACTGCAGTTCATCCCTGATGGCAACTGCATTCATAAAAAGAGACTAACGGTTGCATTAAAGAATGTTTATCATCTTCCGAATAGGTTTTTCATGGTCCACCAAACTTGACGTTTGTCGTTCAAGTTCCCGGAGTCTTCCCACCGCTGCACCCACAGTCTAACAATTGGCTCTGTAATTCCAAGTTCTCTACCGATGGCAGGATTGTCATGCTTCTCATAGCAACTATTGCCCCTCGTTGACATATCTTTTCCTCCCTGGAATTCAGCCTTGATGGAGCTGCTTAAACAACCATTATAGAAAACCAATTTGTTTTAAGAAGCACTAGTTTGTCGAATAACATGTCATAGTCCATGTTGAATAAGATATTACTAAAAAAAAATCAAACGAATTACACGCGTAACATGAAGGGACATTTCACATGTCCTACCTAACCTTATCGTGCAGAAGGTAATGTAAATGTCTGACATATTTGTAACTTAAGTCTGTTGTGCGTGCGTCCGTCTCCTCCCCCCCCCCTCTCTCTCTCTCTCTCTCTGACCCACGGAATTATTTTGTCAACATATTACAGTATTACTTGATGCATTTCATAACCTAATTTAATAAAAGCTGTTCTCGGGAATCAAATACACGAGTCATATAGTCCCTATTCGTTTCACTTTGTCTTCCAGCTGTCAGTAATATTAAATGATAATGAATTATAATACTTTGTCTCCCGATTATTTATGATATTCAGACGATGAGTCACAACGTAACTGAAGGCATGAAGGCAAACCATATATCAAAGTGAAGAAACGACGACGATTCGGTCCGTCCTGGACCATTCTCAAGTCGATTGTGACAATCGACTTGAGAATGGTCCAGGACGGACCGAAACGTCGTCGTCCCCTCACTTTCTAGTGTGTGGTTTGGTCAACATACTTCATACATACTTATTGCGACTCCTCGCCTCAACTTTGATGTGGTTTGGTCATACTGATGTGTAATTCGTTCTTGATTCCATTATTCTTAAAGTTCATCAACTATAATCGCAAATGTTTATTTTTGTAAACCATTTTTAACTTGGAAAAAACGTTTTGAGTGTTGTTGACGGCCAACGACGATCGAGGTAAGTAATTATCAAAAGAAGGCACCAAGCCCGGAAGGCTATGTAACACCATCAGATGTGCGGGATAATCAGAGGGCGCTAAATATCACCAAAGATGCCAATATGAGAACAGAAACGCACAAGGCAAACGATATAAAAAGTATCTGATTCACCAAGAATACTATCGAGGGACAAGTGACCGTGAGGGACGGTCGGGAAGCAAGACATGCTCGTCCTGTAAGTCAGGACATTCAACAAAAGAGATGCACGACTGTATGAGGGACAATGCAATTTGGACAATAAGGATCAGGGCGGCGCTCCATTAAGTGACCGTGAGTTAAGCGTGTATGGCCAATATGCAACCTTGCCAGAGCCGTTTCCCATCGCTGGTTACTGTGGTAGTTGGAAGGCCACAGGGACACACTACTCTTAAGAGTACGCAGTTTGTTACCAACAACAAAAGACCAACAACCCTGCCAACAGGCAAGGATGGAGGAATGAATAACTGGATAAAAGTCGGAATATGGAATACCTTTCCGGGAGATGGGACAAGAGTGGATAGCTTCCTTAGCGGCAGCATCCGCACGCTCATTTAAAGAGACATCAACATGACTGGGAACCCAGCAAAACTCTACTGACTTAAATTTACTGGATAAGAAACAGCCAATGACCACCGGATGGACTGGATTAAAGGACCCTAGAGCCATGAGGGCACTACGAGAGTCTACTACAACCACAAAGGAGGATTGACAACGAGAAAGCAGGAGACGAAGAGTATGGAGAATAGCACAAAGTTCTGCTGGGAAGACGCTAGTCTCCTGAGGTAGGCGACACATAAGTGTGGTCAGGAATAACAACAGAGTAGCCTACACCGTCTGCAGACTTTGACCCATCGGTGAAGATGGTAATAGAGCGGGATGTACAAAATTTTGGAAGGGGTACCCCCACGGGGGTAAGGACGAAACAATGAGGAGAAATATTGGTAATACGAACCTAAAGAGAATCCTGCAAGGGATTTGAAGCTCAAATTAACTACTAAATATCCCGATTATGCAGATGAGTCACAATAACGTGGCTGAAAAATGTTGACCAAGCCACACTACAAATTGGAGAGACAACGTTGTTTCAGTCGTCGTCTCAGACCATTATCAAGTCGATAGTAATGAGACGAGATTGATTGATTGATAAAGATTAAGCCACCCAAGAAGTGGTACGGGCATGAATAGCCCGTATGTGGTAATGAGACGAGGGAGGCAAGGGCATTAAGTAGGCAAGAGAGGGGTGAGGAGATGGAAATCTTAGAAGATAAGAACATGGCAAAAGATACGGAAGGTAAGGTGTAATAATAGGAATAAGAAAAGGATCCTAAGAGAAAAAGAAAGAAAAGGGAAGGTAGGCTTGTTAGGTCACGTTTGTTAGAAAGTTTAGAACATTTGAGTATGTACTGTGAAAGGGAAGAGACAGCAGCAGCAAAGCCAGGACTCTGGTTCATGTTGGATAGGTTATGTATTAGAGCGGAGTCGACAAGACGGCGTCTGTGTAGAGGCAGGAAAGATTATTTTAGAGGAAGACCAATCAAGAGTTTGATTAGAATCCCTAACATGACAGAAGAGAGCATTGTTAGTGTCTGCAGACTTAACACTTCTTTTGTGTTCCTTAAGTCTGTCATTTAGTGTACGGCCAGTTTCGCCAAAGTATTGGAGAGGACAAGACGAACAGGAAATAGAGTAGACACCAGCAGCATTAGAAGCAGGAGCAGTGTGAACTAGATTGCTACGAAGTGTGTTAGTTTGTCGAAAGGCGAGTTTAATGTCAAGAGGACGACAGGTATTGGTAAAAGTTTGAGTTCAGATATGAAGGGAAGGCAGAGTACAGTGCTACTAGTGTTGGAAGCAGGTTTAGGATGAAATTAATTTCGTTTAGCTTGAGAGTAGGCACAGTTGATGAAATGCAAAGGATAATCAAGGCGAGAGAATGATTTGTAGATAAAGGCAATTTCAGAATCAAGAAACTGAGGGTCGCTGATGCATAGAGCGCGGAGGAAGAGAGACACGAGGACACTTTTCTTAACAGAAGGAGGATGGTAGGAAAAGAAGTGAATGTACATGCCACTATGCATGGGTTTACGGTAGACAGAGAAAGAGAACCCAGACACAGAGCTGTGGACATGAACATCAAGAAAAGGAAGGAGGGAATCAGATTCCCACTCAACTTTGAAATGGATAGAAGGAGCCAGATTGTTAAGAGAGGCGAGGAAAGGCTGGAAAAGACTACGGTCATAAGGCCATAAAGCAAAAATGTCATCAACATAGCGAAGCCAGAGAGAGGGACGAGTATCAATAGAAGAATTCCCTCGCCTGCACGAGGGAATTAGATTACCATTCAACATTGAAATGGATGGAAGGAGCCAGATTGTTAATAGAGGAGATGAAAGACTGGAAAAGACTACGGTCATAAGGCCATAAAGCAAAAATGTCATCAACATAGCGAAGCCAGAGAGAGGGATGAATATCTAGACTAGATATTCGACTAGAAGGAACAACAGTTTCGAAGTATTCCATGTAGAGATTGGCAAGAACAGGGGGAAAAAGGGGAACCGATAGTTAGTGACACCGAAAGTTTGAGAGAAATATTTCCCGTTGAAAGAGAATGAATTGGAGTCAACACAGTCTGATGAGTTCGTCTTTGAACTCCAATGTTTGTCGAGTGATGAGTTTCGTAGTCGAATGAACACGACTACGAAACGTCGTCTCTTCAATTTCTAGTGTGTGGTTTGGTCAACAACCTGATTATATTTGGTACAAATATAAAAAAAAACTTTTAAAAACAAAGTATTAACTTTTAATATAATCATATAAGCCAGTTTTTTCTTTCAATGTTAATATTAAGAGTAATTTTTAATATTAGAGAATATTTAATTTACAAATTGCACAAAATAATCCATGTTTAATGAGTAAATTAATCAGCATAAGCAAAAACACTGATAAATGGAGGCAGTGGCAGCAAAATCATCATCTGAGAATAAGTGAATGTGCCAGATTACTGTTCCTATCACAACTTTCAATCACTTCTATAATAAAAAATCACACCTCTAAAGTGATGTATTCAATTATAGTCGCAAGTAAAGGGTTAAAAGCCTGGAGGAAACTGCTAGAATCTTCCTCTAATGGAAGGAATGACATCACAGGAGGGGGGGGGGGGGTAGAAATAGCCTAAACAACTCTGAACTTTCAAATGTATTTTTCCTTGTCTCAATATAAACATACTTGAGCTTAAATGACACCACAGTATTTTCGTCTGTCGCAGGACAATTACACAAAAATAACTTTCAACTTTTTATTTCACAAAAAATCTAACTAAAACACGTACTGGAAAGGAAGTGTTTATGGAATTATAAACAAAAATAGCATGATATTCTAACACCATGACTGAATGATGATAGCATCTCCGACAATTGTAGCACAACTCACTTTTCCAACTGTACAGTAATATGAAAATCACAAAAAAAAAAATATTAATTAGAGCATGTATTCAGCCATGGCTTTCTTTCTTAGATGGAATAGGCAAAGCACATGCCTAGCTCAAGACTTCTTCAAATGGTAAAGTCTCATCTATCTGAGCAATGTAATGATCTTGCAAGGAAGGCAGTAAACAATCACAAAGCAATCACTAAAATTATCATCCTCCTTCTACATACAGTACTTCACAAATCCCACCCGCAATATCTCGTGGTTTCACCTTACACTATCGCTTTTCCTTCCTACTTCCCCTTCTATCCTTATCTCTGCTTCTACTCCTATCCCTCCTTCGCTCCCTGCTCTTCTCTCTCTTCCTCTCTCTACTTCTACTTATACCACCCTTCTTAGCCCATTCCCTTTCCCTTCGATGGCCAGCATCTCTTTCTCTACCCCTGTCTGCTTCCTTAAGTTTATGCATTTCCTTTCCTTTTCCATCTTTATCCTTATGCCTCTCTTTCTTTCCTAACTCTTTCTTGGTTTTATCGTCACCTCGTTCTACTTTTACTTTGCTTTTAGAAGACTTTCCACTTTCACTTGCATTTTTTTTCCTTTCTCCAATTTTCCTAATTTTTTTCTTTTTCTCCTGTAACTCACTGTCACTACTGCTATCATCACTCCTAGACATTCTCCCCCTCTTTTTCTTCCTCTTCTTTTTTGTATGATCAGAGTCTGAATCCGACCCCGAGCTGGAGCTGGAGCTCGAGTCACTCTCGGAATCAGAGGAAGAACCAGAAGATGATCCCGACGAAGACGAGGAACTGTCAGAGTCTGAACTATCGCTATCACTACTCTCACTACTCGTGTCACTACTGCTATCGTCACTGCTACTGTCTGACGAGCCAGAGTCTTTCTTTTTACCTAGTCTGTCTTTTTTCTTGTTAACTTTTTTCTTGGATTTTTCTCCCTTCTTTTTATCTTCCCTTTGCTGTTTGACTTTGGAAGATTTCTTGGCAACTTCAGATTTCAATTCCGGTTGTGGCTTCTCATCTGGCATATTAATACTTTCAAGGTGAGGATTTTTGTCCTCGTGATCAGCAGATGTTTCTGGCATACTTACATCTGCAACAGAATCAAAATTTGCTTCCTCACCATCTTCCAGTTCTTCGCCATCTTCACCTTTGTCATTTATTTTCGATATTTCTGGAACAGTGTTAGGAGGATGAGGAGACAATGAAGTAGCAATGTTAGGGGAGCTTGGGGCAGGAGGTGAAGGTGGAACAGGAGTTAAAGAAAGTGGGGGAAGAGATGGAGAAGGTGGGAGAGTTGGAGAAAGTGGGTGATATGTCGGGGAAGGTGGAAGAGGTGTCGGGGAAGGCGGGAGAAATGTTGGGGAAGGGGGGAGAGGTGTCGGGGAAAGTGGGGCACAGTCAGGAGGTAGAGGAAGCTCAGAAACAGGGGGAGGAAGAGGTGGTAGAGGTTCTGTAATGGCAACAGCAGGTGCATTACCTTCTGCATTTTCACCCTTCTTTATTGTACTCTGCGGTTTGTCTGGTTTTTCTTCCTTAATGATCTTCAATATTGGCCTCGTGAATGCTGGGTTTGTTTCATCCTCTTTTTCGATCTTTATGTGCACTATAGTAGTGGTTAGGTCGGACTCATTTTCTGGCGATTTATCTAATGATTTAGTCAAGTCTTTAGTTCTACCCCTTTCCTTGAATTTTTCCTTTTCTGACCCTTTACCGGTATCCCTTAACCTCTCCTTTTCCTTATCTCTTCCACTAAACCTTTCTCTAACCCTATCCTTCTCTCCCTCTTTGTGCCTATCTTTTTCCTTGTCCCTCTCTCTTCCCCTATCTTTCTTCCTATCCCTCTCTCTATCCTTACTCTTATCCTTTTCTCTGTGCCTTTCCTCTCGACTCCTATCCTTTTCCTTCTGCCTACCCTCGTTCTCTTTCTCACTGTCATTACCCCCTTCTGCTATACTGTTAGATTCCCCTCCCACCTCTGCCTGACTTGCAACAATTTCAACCTTTCTTCCCCCCTCCCCTCGCCCATCTACCTGGACTACCATACGCTCAGTGTCGTCGTCATCCTTACCTGACAGGTCTGCCTCATCATACACTAGCTCTCCCTCCTCAGCCTCGTAATCTAACAAATCTGAAAACAACAAAGAATTGACATTAAACTCGTCAAAACTTGAAACATATGCTTTGGTTTTTAGTGTACAACCTTTATCATTAATTTCTTATTCTCTCTCTGGGATCAATCTTTTTCTTGAAAGATTACCGACATTTGGCATCTCATAACATTAGTATCATAATGTAACATTCTGAAGGAACAAAATGTTAAACAAAACAATTTATATACTCCTTTGGCTACTGTATTCTATAATGGATGACTCCATTTCTGTTTGTATTTAAAACAAGACTTCAAATAGTGTGATTGCCTCCATAAGCATGAACAAGTCAAACAGTAGAAAGTAAATTACCAAGACAAACATACAACAGTAGTAATTCAATGAATAATGTGTAGGTAGATCAACTGGAGTTGGTGTTCTAGTGTGAATGAAGCAGAAAAAATCGTCAACATGGGCAAGAGTACTTACTCGCTTTACACTCTCCATACCAGTGCTTCCTGGATGACTGATGACAACCCGTCTATTACCTTATTATTAGGCTCATATCAAGAAAAATCAAATGACCCATTTTCTTCCTTTAAATGGAAGGATAATTGGAAGTTATTCCATATTATATATAACAAGCAAATTCAAAAGCTTAAAATTAAGCCTTGACCAAGTAGAACATTCTGGCAATCCGTCTCTACGAATCAATATAATTATAGAACTACAGCCAGAATCTGTCAATGCAGTAATATGTAGACGTTAATGTACAAGAATAAAAAAAAAAGGCTAAATTCTGCTGGCATTTGTTAAATAAACAAAAAAATAAGCATACAAGTTTACTACAACTCACCTGGACAGTTATCAAGAGTGTCATTGCCACCCCCCTCCCCCTGCCTGTTGACCTCTGAGCGGACCCCCCTGCGAACGTAGGTCTCCTCCTCCTCCCCCCCCTCCGCAGCATCCCTGCCCTCTTCGCCCTGATCTTCCTCCGCACGTCCTCCAAGAATTTCTTCCAGTTCCTCCTTCATGCGCAGCCGATCCTGCTCCAGTTCACCTGCAAAATCAACAGAGCAGCAGAAATTAATAAATGTAATCAAGCACACTAAAAAAAATCAATACAACCTCTATAATGAAAACTTAATATTTTACTGTAAATAGGTACTTTTCAAAGCACTGAAAAATTTGTTACAAAATGAAATATAAAGATGCTTCAGAATACAAGTACAGCAAACACATTTAGCTGGAACAATGCAAAAATTATTCGTATTTCCCTTTCCCCCCTATCAAATAACTGATAAATATTAGCTCTGCGTGCAGATGAGGAGTCACAATAATGTGGTTGAAATACATTGACCAAACCACACACTAGAAAGTGAAGGGACGACAACATTCCAGTCCGTCCTGGACCACAATCGACTTGAGAAGGTCCAGGACAAACCTAAACGTCGTCGTCCTTTCACATTCTAGTGTGTGGTTTGGTCAACATTAGGAGCTCTATTTTAAACTCACATGCTTAGAAGCAAATTAAAAATAATCTAGAGCTTTAACACTTTTAGAAACAGTCAACTTACGCATGATAATGTCGTGTGTGGCCCGCACAAGGTTGGTGGTCCTGGAGTTATGCAAGCGTGGCAGCCAGAAGATGGGTAGAGATGACTCGGTGCGTATAAATTTTGCCAGCTTCATCTGGTGGGCCTCCCAAACCTCATGCTGAAAAAAAATATTAATAAATGTTACAAATACAGTACTGTACAGACATTAAGACTTGATACAAAGAGGAAAGGGGGGTAACATCAGGAGGGAGGAGGAAAGGGGGCTACATCGGGAGGGAGAAGGAAGGGGGGCTACATCGGGAGGGAGAAGGAAGGGGGGCTACATCGGGAGGGAGAAGGAAGGGGGGCTACATCGGGAGGGAGAAGGAAGGGGGGCTACATCGGGAGGGAGGAGGAAAGGGGGGGTAACATCAGGAGGGAGGAGGAAAGGGGGGGGCTACATCAGGAGGGAGGAGGAAAGGGGGGGGCTACATCAGGAGGGAGAAGGAAGGGGGGCTACATCGGGAGGGAGAAGGAAGGGGGGCTACATCGGGAGGGAGGAGGAAGGGGGGCTACATCGGGAGGGAGGAGGAAGGGGGGCTACATCGGGAGGGAGGAGGAAGGGGGGCTACATCGGGAGGGAGAAGGAAGGGGGGCTACATCGGGAGAGAGAAGGAAGGGGGGCTACATCATGAGGGAGAAGGAAGGGGGGCTACATCGGGAGAGAGAAGGAAGGGGGGCTACATCGGGAGAGAAGGAAGGGGGGCTACATCGGGAGAGAGAAGGAAGGGGGGCTACATCATGAGGGAGAAGGAAGGGGGGCTACATCGGGAGAGAGAAGGAAGGGGGGCTACATCATGAGGGAGAAGGAAGGGGGGCTACATCATGAGGGAGAAGGAAGGGGGGCTACATCAGGAGGGAAGAGGAAAGGGGGTAACATCAGGAGGGAGGAGGAAAGGGGGGGGGGCTACATCAGGAGGGAGGAGGAAAGGGGAGGGGGCTACATCAGGAGGGAGGAGGAAAGGGGGGGGGGCCTACATCAGGAGGGAGGAGGAAGGGGGCTACATCAGGATAGTGCATAATTACACAAGTATAAAATTAAGCTCGAATAAATATTTATATTTTTAAAACAGGAAATAATAAAAATGCAAAGTACTGTATTGTACAGTATATAAAGTCAAGAATGAATCTAATACAATTAATTTAGATTTTCTAAACTGTACTGTTCTATAATGATAAAGACAATTTTCTTGCGGATGAAAGTTAGCACTCCTTACCTCCTTTACTCGGGCCATCTTGACGGTGAGCCGTCGAATTTGAGCTTGCCTCTCCTTCCTTTGATTGAAAAGTTCCTGCCGTTCACGTCTAAGCTCTTCTTTTTCTGCTCTCCCCTTTTCCTCTAGCTTTCTCTCAATAGCAGCACGCTGTTCCTCCTGGGAAATCACATTAAGGGATAAGTAATAAACAAGTACAGTACTGTATACATAATTATTACCCATTTCAATCTTTCATTGGGTGTGGAAGTAACCAAATAAGAAAAATGATTAACACTTTCGCTCGGGGATGACGCAGCATTGCGTCATCCGTTTACTGGCGGTAATGCCGGGGATGACGCAGCATTGCGTCATCCACTTTAAAAATTCGCCAAAAATCAGGTTTTTATCCGATTTTTTGGGGACTGGTTTTAAAATGTGCGCCGATGTCTTCCCATTTTCTTTGTTGAGCCTCGTCGCCCTCAGGCTGCTTGGCACACGCCGTGGGCCCATTGTCTTTGCTCCACTGTTGTGACCAATGTCGCTTCCCCTCGCATCTCAAACGTGTGAACATTTCGGCTATTTTCCGTGGCTATATTTCTTACTGCGGCTTTAGAAACTATCTACGCTTACTCCACGATGGATAGTAATCATGAACAAGACCCTTCCAGGAAGAAAATTGCGAAAGAAAGGCTTGAAAAGGGTAGGAATTGGGAGTGTAGCAGGAAGGCCTCTGAGCACTCACTCACGGCTAACACGTGGCCCGTCTTCAACTCGTCGGCGGTTGGAGCGTGACCAGGTTTTTTTTTTTATAGGCTAATGTTCCTCTAGAGAATTTTATTACGAACCCATTGAGACCAAAATGAAAGACCTAGGACAAAAATTGAGGTGACCAGAGTGAAAATAGTGAAAACATTTTATCCCGTTTGCGCGCTCCCGGGTAACTCGTTCGCACTTTCTCTGTTTGCTGCGGGTAATTAGCCGGGCTTTTGGAGTTTATATGCATTTAGTGCTGTAGAGAATTTTATTGCGAACACAATGATACCAAATTTAATCTCGTAGAAGGAGAATTGAGGTGACAAAGTTGAAGAGAGTATACACTTTTCGGAATTAACGCGCGCTTCCGTGACACTCTGGGGCCCATATCGCCCTGTCGAGGGGTGGCGCGCGGGGTGAGCGAAAGTGTTAATAACCAAAAATTTAAAATAACTTATCATTCACAGCAACAATCCATTGCTTCACAAGACCAGATAGACTCATAATTTATCACATACATTATATACACATAAATTTACATACAAAAACATTTACCCAACATTGTCACATACAACTGCATCTACCCAGCCTTGTCACCACATCCCATATATATGTTCATACTCAATGTACTACTCACTCATGACTTCTTCACACATCTGACATGAAAAGCCTTGCCAAGCGCAATGCCTGGGGAAAAAAAAAAAAATTGCTGGCCACACCACCCAGGAAATAAACCCTTGCCGGGCACACTACCCGGGGTATCAAGCCAAGCAGTGTTTCAATGTACTCAACTCCTGACTTCCTAACACGTCAGGAAATGAGAACACTTCCTCACACACTTGACATACAAAAAACCTTGCGAAGGGGTAACCCTTCTGGACACACCGCCCAGGAAATAAACCCCAGCTGGGCACAGCTGGGGTTTATTTCCTTGTGTAAAGGATAACACAAGTACACACTTGTGTACTTGTGTTGCAGGATAACACAAGTACACACTTGTGTACTTGTGTACAGGATAACACAAGTACACACTTGTGTACTTGTGTTGCAGGATAACACAAGTACACACTTGTGTACTTGTGTTGCAGGATAACACAAGTACACACTTGTGTACTTGTGTTGCAGGATAACACAAGTACACACTTGTGTACTTGTGTTGCAGGATAACACAAGTACACACTTGTGTACTTGTGTTGCAGGATAACACAAGTACACACTTGTGTACTTGTGTTGCAGGATAACACAAGTACACACTTGTGTACTTGTGTTGCAGGATAACACAAGTACACACTTGTGTACTTGTGTTGCAGGATAACACAAGTACACACTTGTGTACTTGTGTTGCAGGATAACACAAGTACACACTTGTGTACTTGTGTTGCAGGATAACACAAGTACACACTTGTGTACTTGTGTTGCAGGATAACACAAGTACACACTTGTGTACTTGTGTTGCAGGATAACACAAGTACACACTTGTGTACTTGTGTTGCAGGATAACACAAGTACACACTTGTGTACTTGTGTTGCAGGATAACACAAGTACACACTTGTGTACTTGTGTTGCAGGATAACACAAGTACACACTTGTGTACTTGTGTTGCAGGATAACACAAGTACACACTTGTGTACTTGTGTTGCAGGATAACACAAGTACACACTTGTGTACTTGTGTTGCAGGATAACACAAGTACACACTTGTGTACTTGTGTTGCAGGATAACACAAGTACACACTTGTGTACTTGTGTTGCAGGATAACACAAGTACACACTTGTGTACTTGTGTTGCAGGATAACACAAGTACACACTTGTGTACTTGTGTTGCAGGATAACACAAGTACACACTTGTGTACTTGTGTTGCAGGATAACACAAGTACACACTTGTGTACTTGTGTTGCAGGATAACACAAGTACACACTTGTGTACTTGTGTTGCAGGATAACACAAGTACACACTTGTGTACTTGTGTTGCAGGATAACACAAGTACACACTTGTGTACTTGTGTTGCAGGATAACACAAGTACACACTTGTGTACTTGTGTTGCAGGATAACACAAGTACACACTTGTGTACTTGTGTTGCAGGATAACACAAGTACACACTTGTGTACTTGTGTTGCAGGATAACACAAGTACACACTTGTGTACTTGTGTTGCAGGATAACACAAGTACACACTTGTGTACTTGTGTTGCAGGATAACACAAGTACACACTTGTGTACTTGTGTTGCAGGATAACACAAGTACACACTTGTGTACTTGTGTTGCAGGATAACACAAGTACACACTTGTGTACTTGTGTTGCAGGATAACCAAAGAACACACAGCCCACTTTTAAAGTCCATGCAAAGCACAACTTAATAATAATTAATAACTTAAAGTTTAATCAATTAAATAAACAAAATCCTGCTGGGAAAATACCAAAACCTGACAGTCAGGATTCGAACAAGTGGCTCAGCATCTGATTTATACTGATTATGATGATACAATCTGCAGATAGTAAATTGTTTAGCTAAGGAAGATTGATTCTTTTTCTGGGGGGGGGGGGGCACTGGTTCAATTTTTGTTACATACAGTAAAGGATTAGGATAGGAAACCATGTTTAATTGGATTAAAAACAATATTTCTTAAAAATTTGAGTGAGGGGGTTGTAACAGTTCAGTTGCTTAATACAAAATTGTATATTTTGTAGCCGATATGTAAAACATCTTCGTTTTGTGGCACCTTGGTAATCAAGCACCGAGGTTACGAGGAGTTGGACTGAGGTTACAAGAAAGAAGAAAGACCGAACAACAGAATCGTTAATTAACGGCTAGCTAATAAGAAGCGAGGCGTTATCCATGGAACCATTACAGGTCCTTCCCAGATAGTCCGGATTAGCGAGCTTCATCAGTATGTATGTCAAGAGATGACACCAGTATCTAGGCTGTCCCCAAAAGATGTTTAAGGCCTATGATAGTGGTTTTTTAAACTTCTTGATGAATACAGTACAGAATTCCAAGAGTGGCCCTGGTGCAGAGTGTATGGGGATGCTGTCTATGGGTACTTCACAGTCCAGTGGGGGTTAGGGTAACATCTAATATGTCAACCCGTACTCGATTCAAGTTCATTACATCAAACGGTAGACCTCACAGACGCATTCATAAATTTTTACATGCTGTTCATTCAAAATGGGAATTTTCTCAAATATAAATTAATATTATAATATACTGTACTGCATTAGCATATTGTGCATATATAGGCATTGATTAGGTTAGGTGTTTAGGTTCTGTTGGCGATTATTTGTATTTGTAGAACGTGGGTGAAGCATTTATAGCGTTGTGGTTCGAACAAAATTAGTCAGTGAAGCACTCGTTCCAGAGGTGTTCGAACGAAATCAGTTGTGAGTAGTATGTAAACCGTTTTTCATTTATAAACAGAGGGTTTGGCGGGTGCATGGAATCACTTTTGGGTCTTTGAACCACATATCCAGCCCGTCCTCCAAACAATGTTGGTGTCACATTCATGAATTCATTTGGATAATTGATTTTCCATGCATTACGGGGTTCACTGAGAACAGAATCGTACTGAAGCCTCAGTATTTAACTCATTTCTTTGTTGTCATCAGTGAAAGTTCCATCACCCTTGCACAAGGGCCCAATGCTGGATGCAGTTTGTGTTCTTGGTTTTGCATACGAGAAACGTATTTCAGGTTCCTCTATTTCACTTTTAATACGATTCTCTCAGCTTGAGCTCGATCATTTCTATCTCCTTACATAGCCTTCCTCGTAGGTGTTATGATAGACTGGAGCATTTGAGATGTTCTATTTGTTTTCTTCCCCTATACAGGGAGCACCGTTCTCATTCCAGTTTGCATCTTTTTCTCAGTTTTTCTTAGTGATATATGCCATATACATATATACTAAGAATACACATATTCTTAGTGCTACAGTGCCTATTTTCTCAAAGCACCAGTAAAAGTTTGCATTATCTAGTTATTCTTCCCAGCATTCCTCTGCAAGGTCTTGGTTTATTTGTTCCCAGTTAATCAGTTTGTTATTAAAATTGAATTTGCTGAATTCTCTTCTTCTTGAATTTGAGATTTGGGAAAAGAAATTGGAAAAAAAAAAAACAGGTACACCCCACAGGGTTGTACCACAGCTAATGAGAATGGATAACTGGATATTTCTACATTTGCATAATCCAAGAAACAGAAAAATCCAAAGTTTTGTACTTCTGTACAAATGTACAGATGCATTACCAAATCCTCCCAGAATTATTAAACATATGGTACAACTCAGAATTTATATAAATATTATAATTTAACCATGAACATACCTTATCTTTTTGCTTGGCTTCATCGTTCTTGAACCGTTTCAGAGTACCAAGCAAAGCACCAAACATACGGCGATTTCTGAGGAAAAAAATATATATATATAACTTAAGCGAAAGCATATGCCAATTTTTTTTTTACACAATTGATCATCTCCAACTTTTCATTTCTCAAGTACCTTCCCTCCTGTGGAGTACCATGATCTTGCACGCCTTGCCAACCTTAACGTCCAAACAACTACAAAGCATTTTCCTTGCACCACTTTTTTCTCACACAGTACTGTATATACCTGTCCATCTCTGCCATCTTTTTGGAAGTACGATATTTATATTTTTGTGTTTTCTATTTTTTAATTTTATGTAAATGACTGGTGGGTAGGAAGATAGCTCATCTTTATGATGATAGTTTATATAACAAACATGCACATTTATCACAATTTTACGCATTTTAGTTAATTACAGGCAAAAATTAATTCAGCTTTTATTTTTCCAACATTTATTTATGTTTTTTGTTACTCTATATTACTCTACAGCATTTTTTGCTAATTAAAAAAAAGAGAATGCTCTTTCATACAGACTTTACCACGATCATTATAAACCAGAAAATGATGAGCATGTCTGGAACAAGATGAAAGTATTAATACGCGAAAGTAAAAGCTCTTTCAAAAATTTTAAATCAATACAATTATGAATACAAATATTTATGGCATCTTGTAAATCTTGTGTGCAACAGTTGCATCCTGAATTACACACCATATAGTCTAGTTAAAAAAAAATGGGGGTACTCTGTTTTTAAGTGAGAGGGTTTGAAGGAAGCATAACTGGCAATTTGTTTTGCACTACATAGGAATTTTTTTTTCTCCTTTTTGGCAGGGATATTTCTGTGCCTATTTTTTGGCAGGGGGGTATTCCTAAGCCTATGGCTGCCTCATTAAGTGTTATTTGTTTCCGTTTTACTTAGGCGGAGTACGAGTATTTATGACTTATGTTCGCTTCAGCAAGGTTATATAGAGATGTACAATTCTGCCACCACTACTGGTAGGAAGTACCAGATCCAGGGGGCTGTGTTCAAGATCAGAGAACTTGGTTGAAAACTACACAATTTTAAAATGGTTTTCCAGGCACATACTCTGGTTGTTCTATGCATTTTACTTGTTAGAGCTACGAGGTATAACTATAAATTAAAAAAAAAAAAAAAAGCTCTTCTGTGATTCAATTAAAGTTTCCTTTATTAATTCTGTCTAGAAAAATCTAGATTCTTAACACTTTCCGGCTATGAGGACTCCTCCCGGCGTCCTGTTTCGCCTACCCGCTTCCGCTATGTGGACATAAACTTATGTCCTCTTTTAAAATATTTGTATAAAATTCAATTTTTATCCGATTTACTTTGGGTTTGTTTCAAACTGCGCGCCATGAGGCTCTCTCTCTCACCAATAGGCTGCATGGTACAATAAGTTCATGAAAGGTTCACAAACATAACAAAAGTACAAACATTTCGTGTGTGTTTGACTCTCACTGATATGTTCCAGCGTTGTTTTATATTTGGCGCTATTCTATCTTACGCTTTGTTGATCTTTTTTACCTACGGGCTCATAGAACATTCTATTGCGAACACATTGACACAAAAATGAATGACGTACATAGAATAATAATGTCATGAGAATGAAATAAGTATAAACTTTCAAAGCGCCGTGCGTCGTCCCGTCACCGACACCGGGTAACAATTTCACCACTTCCCACACTCTTGCGGGCAGGCCGCAATCATTATTCTACGCTTATATTCATATCACCGCGTTGGGAATTTCATTGCGAGTCCATTGATACCAAAATTAACGCTGTAGGACAAGTGTGGAGGTGATAACAATCCCAAGAGTAAAAACATTTTGTTGCTGTTGGGGGCTCACGGCGAGTCATCTTCGTAGTTATTTATTTGGTGCTGGTATCCCTATACGTTTCATGACTTTTTTTACCGATGTTCTTCTAGAGAATTTTATTGCGAACACGTTGGTACCAAAATGAAATGCGTAGCTCGAGAACTAAGGTCAGGAGAGTAAAAAGAGTATACACATTTTTGTTTTTACGCTTACGCGGCAAAACGCCGGGAGCACTTACGGTTGTTTTTTTTACATTCGCCTGGAGCCGGAAAGTGTTAACTACAGTGGTCATGAGAGTTTTGTGAAGTCTCATTTCAACCTTTGATATTCTACTTCATTAATGATAACTATCAATTATGGTATAGTACTTTAAATTTTCTCAACTAACCTGTCTCGTGAAGCTCTATCCTTTGTCAGTTCTGCGGCAGCTTCATTACGAGACTTTGTGTCCGACTGTGGACGAGCTACAGACGACGCCAGGGATGGCTGGTAGTAATGGAAAGAAAGAAATTTAAGTTTGCTGTAAATTAAATAATATTTTTAAAAGGAAAATTAAATGTTGATTGGGATAAACCATACAAAGTTAGGCTACATCAAGCTTGCAAACATTGGCATTATCATCATCAATTACAAATTAAGATTTTTGTCCAAATTTAAGTGTTACCACATTTTACCATACAAATTCTAATTTTTTAAAGCTGTGATGATACAAAGTTGCAGTCAAACTTCTGATGGAGAAGTGGTTGCTCACTAAAGTTAAAAAGCTTAATTGAAGTATTTTAAAGTCAATATTTTTAAAGGAAACTTTAGTGTATATAAATGCAAACTTTCAGTAATAAACAAAAAGGCAGCAGAACTACATCAAGAAATACAGAAAACATTATTATTAGGAAAATCATTTTGAATATAAAAAAAACATGTGCTAAACTAGCCATATAAACATTTTGTTTCATTCTTTTAACTGCTTTGTCCAGTACAGTATTTTGCCTCTCCCCCCCCTCAGAAAAAAAAAAAAAATCCTCACTTACCTTCGGAATCTTCTCATCACTGTCAACCACCTCCTGGACCCGCCTACCACGAATTTCTGGGTGTACCTCTGCTCTTAAATCGCCATGTGCCTCTACCCTGGGATCAACGCCCCGGTGATCGCCTCGGATTTCTCCCCTCAGATCACCCCGAGGTCGGCCCCTCGAGTCAGGATGCTGCTTGTCAAGCACAACAGCCCCCAACCTAGTAAAATTATTTTTGTTATTAATTACATTAAAGTATTAATAAAATTTAGCGTTATTAAAAACCATCAGTCAAAAGGCGTTGCCTGTACATTACCCAGTACATAATAAAACATCCAGTGTAAACCTAAATTTTATGAACTTTTGCAGGAAAAATATTATTTAGCAAAATAAGCACAACAGTTATTGCTTAATTGGTGAAACAACAATCTATTACAATTATGATACAAGTAAGATTATTATGCTGAAATTACCCACAAATCTATTTAGGGGAAATACATAGACCACTTAAAATACAGAACTATTATTTATTATTAATAGCTTATTAATAAGCAATATTTAAAAAGAAATACACATACCTAGCAAAGACCCCCCCAGGGGGTCTTCGCTTAGCTGGAGGCTCATCATCGCCTCGTCCTGATGAGAGACGGATTCTCCGGAGATCTGCACGTTGGCTGGAAACAACAATTATAACAATTAAAAGGAATGAAAGAGCACATGGAAGTTGAAATAAAATATACTGTACTGTACATAAATATATGAAAAATAATTAACAACTTTGAAGAAGTTGACAAGACTTAAAAACAAGGGTGGGGGGGGGGGTGAGAATAAATGAGTTTGAACAATGATTTTTGCATGTAGGCCTAAGATCTTAAATGCCATACTTCAAAATATGTGCCAACTAAAAAGTTCTCCCTCACCTCCCCAAGGCCATCCAACTTCAAATATTTTTGGAAAGCAATTGCAACTGCACACTTTTTTTTATAATAGTAAGACTGGACTTAACAGCTTATTGGCCAAAATAGATATCACCTACTGTGTGATAACAAAATTTAAAATATGCAGGCAACTTGTAATACAAAGTTGTTTATTTACAAACAGAGCCTACATAAGATAACACTGCCATTATCTGAAAGCACAGAAATTATTTTGAAAACAGGTAAAAAATAAAAACAGCGGTGAATGTACTGTAATCAAACGCCATTTTTTGGGCGAGACCCAGAGGGGCCCCAGAGCTATCCAGGCTGATATAAATGTATTAGACCCTAGCATCAGTCAAGGCGAATGGAGTTCTTGCCTACTGGGGACCACGAGCCAGAACCTGGCCTCCCCTCAGAGAGGCACGAGGAGCAATGGCCCATAGAAACCCCCGTGTGGTTAGAAGCATTCTATAAGTCTGCCATCGACCAGGTCAGACACCCAGAAAGGTAAGTGCCCCAAAACAAACTAATTTGCTACAGAAAGCCAAACTATGGGACAGAACTCCCCAAACGAAAAAACGAGCTATCCACCTTTCAGTTCTTAGGCTGGATGTCAAAACACGAAAGAGGAAAAAAAAGAGCCAACCGGGATTGGGTTGCTGGGGATATCACCCAGAAAATGGCGTTTTATTACATTCAACGCTGGATTTCTGGAGGGAGCCCCTTCGACTCCCCAGAGCTAATTACCCAAACATAACACAAGAGGGACTTACCAGGGAGGCAGTCGCCAATCGCTCAACTCGAAGTCGAGACAACTGGCTGCAACCACCGACCCAATGCGACACATACCCGACTAGGGCCGGGAACACTGACCAGGTAGCGAGTGGCCAGGACCCTGTCTGACCGCCAAAAATCCCATTTTCTTGGTTATCTTGACATGATTTCAGGGCTTAGCGTCCCCGCGGCCCGGTTCTCGACCAGGCCTCCTTTTTGTTACACACACCCCGGGAAGCAGCCCGCAACAGCTGTCTAACTCCCAGGTACCTATTTACTGCTAGGTAACAGGGGCATTAGGGTGAAAGAAACATTTTGCCAATTTGTCTCCGCCTCCACCAGGGATCGAACCCGGAACCTCAGGATTACGAATCCGAAGCACTGTCCACCAAGCTGTCAGGTGCCGTGCCCGAATGTAAGCCCAAGACATGTTACTAAAGATGGCAGCCAACACAGCAACTTACGAATATCATGGGCAGGAGGATAGACCGCAGGCTGGATGGACCTAATAACTGTGAGAACGACCTGGGAGACCCAAACCCTGGAACAGGGAAGAAGGTAAACTGGGTCAACCCTTGCACATCCCTAGCCACCGAGGTCGTGGTGCACAGGTAACGGCGAAGAGATACAACCGGACAAACACACGAGGCATCCCCGGCTGAACCAACCCAAGGACCCCTCCAGGTCCTTGGGTTGTTGATGCTAAAAATAAATAATAAAAAAAAGTCTAAGCCGATTTAAAGACACCCAGTGACATAGCATAACAAACAACACCGGCTCCATCACAACCCTTCAAGGTCATCGGTGATGTCACAGTGGACCCCATAACCTGGCTTACCCCATGTTTGAGTATATAATAATACTGTAATAATAATATTTAACTGGCTTGCATGGAGGCCTAGAGTACCCCCCCCCCACACACACACACACACAGCATTGTGTGGCTACTGGCCACCAGGTACGGCCTGACAGCCGAGTGGACAGGGCTTGGGATTCATAGTCCTGAGATTCCGGGTTCGATCCCCGTTGGAGGCGGAAACAAATGGGCCCAGTTTTTGTCACCCTGAAGCACCTGTTCACCTAGCAGTAAATAGATACCTAGGAGTTAAGACACCTGCTACGGCTGCTTCCCAGGGGGTGTGTAACAAAAAGGTCTGGTCGAGGACCGGGCCGCGGGGACGCTAAGCTACGAAATCACCTCAAGATAACCACACGTGAAGGAGCACAAGACGAGCCGCAACGCAGCGACATTACTCGTGACGTAACTAAGTTATGACCAGCCAGCCCCCGGGGTAAGCTCACTACACATGAACATATTGACCTGACAGTGCCAGCGTGCCCCCTGGAGGTGCCACCGCCGCCGCCACCACCCTCACAACAAGGAATGTGACGGCTGGTGAGGCCCCAGACGGCGGCGGCGTCACCCCCACACCAGGAGGCTGGCGGCTCCCTCACTACACCACCGGCGGCCACAACACTCCTTAGTTACCTTGGATCATTGAAATCGCGGCCTGTCAGCCTGCGCAGACTCTCATCTACACCCTTGAGGTCATTCCGGGCTCGCTCTATTTCACTCTCAATGGTAGTAACGAGGGAGAGACCCGTTAGCGCCGCCATCTTGGCGTATCGACGGCCTCACAGTGCTGCTGTCTCCGGGTCGTGTTGTCTATATACGCCTCCCTCAACACCTCCTCACTCCTCACTCTTATTACATTCTTTACTCGCATAATATACAACAGTAATACAATTATAATCTAATGCATTGCGTGATGATATAATACGCCAAATGAGTTGTATGTTTGTACTAGAATGTGATCCGGATAATGCTCTTTTGGGTAACTGGTGTATAAAAGGAATTTTGGGGATGGGAAGTTATATAAATAAAAACAACAATTCAAAATTTTGCATCCTAGTTCTATAGAGTATTTCCACAATACATACAGCTATCTTGCAATTCTTAATAACAATATAGCTTTATATATGCGTTATTTCCTTAACGTGAATTAATTATAAATAACAATTATCTCGGTGACAGGAACCATGTATTCATGTGTGTATGTGTGTATGTACTCACATAGCTGTGCTTGCGGGGTTGAGCTTCGTCTCTTTGATCCCGCCTCTCAACCGTCAATCATCAGGTTCCTGAGCCTATTGGGCTCTATCATATCTACACTTCAAACTGTGTATGCCTCCACCTCATCACTTTCCAATGCATTCCATTTATTGATTACTCTGACACTAATACGATTCTTTCTAATGACTTTATGGCTTATTTGGTCAATCAATTTCCACCTGTGTTTTCTAGTGCGTGTGCCCCTTGTGTTAAATAAACTGTCTTTGTCTACCCAATCAATTTCTTTGAAAATAATGTATGTACTCACCTAGTTGTGCTTGCGGGGGTTGAACTCTGACTCTTTGGTCCCGCCTGTCAACTGTCAATCAACAGGCGTACAGATTCCTGAGCCTACTGGGCTCTATCATATCTACATTTGAAACTGTGTATGGAGTCAGCCTCCACCACATCATTTTCTAGAGCATTCCATTTGCTAACTACTCTGACACTGAAAAAGTTCTTTCTAACGTCCCTGTGGCTCTCAACTTCCACCTGTGTCCTCTTGTGCGTGTACCTCCCGTGTTAAAAAAATCCAACCTTGTCTACCCTGTCAATTCCCCTGAGAATCTTGTATGTGGTGATCATGTCTCCCCAAGCTCTTCTGCCTTCCAGCGACGTGAGATCGCTGTGTCAAACTGTGTCAACAAAATTATTCGCACACCCTCCGTCACTATGTGATGGAGTGCGAAAAGATACGTGAATTCAGAGACAATTCTATAACCAATGTTCCAACGATGCGTAAATATTTCATTCAAAAAGATCTGCTACCAGAAATCTTAGCCAAATATCCCCAGTTTGCTAACTGTAGGTAGTAACTGAGTGATTGTAACCTATCCACCGCTGCCCACTGGATGGGGGGCGGTGTGCAGGACAAACATTCAATTGTGACACTAGCTCTCCACATGTGTCAGTTGCTTAATTTAGAAACTGTACTTGTGGTCGGTCTCGAACGCATTGTTGATGTGACGACTTATACTTAATTTTGTAACTAGCTCATCAAGATTGTAACTTATTTAGCTAAATTAATTGTGGGGTTCAGTCCCTGAGCCCATTATGTGCCTCTGTAACCCTTTCCACTACCGCCCACAAGATGGGTATGAAGTGCATAATAAATGAACTAAACTAAAACTCATCCCTATCCCTAAAGCCAATGGAGAGTACAGACTTGTGTCCTTAACCTCGTGTTTTTTGTAAAATGATGGAGAGGATAATGTAGTTGTTTTAGATTCAGCTACTCAGAACAAGAAGTTTCTGTAGCACGGACTATGGTGAGCCTGTAAGGAGAGGCTCTTTGGAGCCTTTATCTGTATCAGTAGCTGAAACTAGAGATCTGGGGGTCTTGGGGGATGGGGGGTCTTCATGGTGGTTTTCAGCCCTCGAGGGCTGGCTGTACCGTTATGGAGCTGGTGGGGGCTAGTGTAGACCACTAGGTCTTCCGTTTTTTCTTTGCCTGAGACTGGCTGATCCATGCTGTTGTTGTAGTTTGGTGAGGTGGTTTCAAAACCTCCATTAGGAAGTTTAGAAACTAGTAGATGTCGTGTTTGTGGTGCGGCGGTGGAACTCCTAGTAATATTTCCTCGTCTCAAGAGTCCATAACCTCCGTAGTTTGTGTTTTGATCTTTACGTCGCAGCCTGAGGTAGACTCAGGTGTCGTGGATTGGTGGTAGAAGCTATTTCACGAGCGTTGATGGTGCTGTTAGCATTTGTAGATAGTACGTCTGCTAGCGCGGCTGCTGAGATGGTGATGGTAGGAGTGTTGGGAGCAGTAGAGGGAAATACCTCTGTTTGTGCCGCCCGGGTCTTGGGTGGTTCTGGAGTCTGTGTTGAAGTCGACCTCATGGTCGCCCTGGTGGTAGTCTCCGGAGTGGTAGTGGAGGCAGTGAGACTTGCGCCAGGGGACTATGATGGGGGCCCAGACCATTGGCTAGGTATAATGTGTTCAGTTCACTGACAAAACGGTGGCTGTCTGGTCCGGCAAGCCTTTCCGCTAGTCTAATAAGACCAGGAATAATGCCTGCACGTGATGCTGGACGAGGCACTTGTGACCTGCACAAGGATTTGGGAATAATGATGTCCGACGACCTAACGTTTAGGGAGCATAATCAAGCAAGTATTGGGTCAGCCAGAAAAATGATAGGATGGATTACGAGAACCTTCAAGTCCAGAGATCCCATCACAATGGGTGTACTCTTCAAATCACTTGTGTTGTCCCGTCTTGAGTACTGCTCAGTACTCACTTCCCCCTGCAGAGCAGGAGAGATTGCTGAAATTGAGGGAATACAGAGAACATATACGGCACGCATAGGCGAGATAAAGCTCCTAAATTATTGGGATCGTCTCAAAGCTCTCCAAATGTACTCACTAGAAAGGAGACGAGAGAGTTAGTTTAGTTTAGTTCATTTATTATGCACCCCATACCCATCTTGTGGGCGGTAGTGGAAAGGGTTACAGAGGCACATAATGGGCTCAGGGACTGAACCCCACAATTCATTTAGCTAAGCAAGTTACAATCTTGATGAGCTAGTTACAAAATTCAATATAAGTCATCACATCAACAATGGGTTCGAGATCGACCTCAAGTACAGGTTCTAAATTAAGCAACTGACATATGTGGAGAGCTAGTGTCAAAATTTATATGTTTGTCCTGCACACCGCCCCCCATCCAGAGGGCAGCGGTGGATAGGTTACAATCACTCAGTTACTACCTACAGTTAGCAAACTGGGGATATTTGGCTAAAATTTCTAGTAGCAGATCATTTTGAATGAAATATTGACACATCGCTGGAACATTGGTTATAGAGTTGTCTCTAAATTCACGTATCTTTTCGCACTCCATCACATAGTGACGGAGGGTGTGCGAATAATTTTGTTGACACAGTTTACATTTGGTCAGGTCTACATCAGCAGATAATGAGAATTCCCAGAGATACTTGTAACCGAGACTAAGCCGAGCAGTAGTAACATCTAGAAGTCTGCTGATTTTAATGGATGATCCATAGATGTGTGGCTCCTCTTGCATGATAGTATGATGATAGATGGAATTACTGGTGTCAATTTCACTTTGCCTCAGATCTACAAGATCTTGTTGAAGTTCTCGGTGTACTGCTGCTCTCAGATTGCTCATTGACAATCCAAGGTTACACTCGACGGCTCCTTTAAAGGCAGATTCTTTGGCTAACTTATCAGCTCTATCATGCATTCGGAGGCCAACATGAGATGGAGACCACATGAAATGGACTCTGTTACCATCCTTAATAATTTTGTTGTATTTGTGTCTAGCTTCGGACACGAGCATGTTACAGTTATGTCTTAAAGAGTTGAGAGCATTTAAGGATGATAAGGAGTCACTTACAATTAATGTATCAAGTTTTGAGACTTGTACACATTTCAGTGCAAGGATCAAGGCAAATAGTTCAGTCTGAAGGGTAGAGGCCCAGTTGTTTATACGGACTCCCCACTCAAAGTATAGGCCATCGCCCATTGTCAGGACAACTGCACTTCCAGCTGCACCCGTGGTGCGGTGTAGGGAACCATCAGTATATATAATTTGAGAGAGAGAATGCTCTGTGGACAGAGCATCAATATGGCTTAAGGCGTTGAGCTTTGCCTCAAGACGAAGCTTGGGCTGATCTCTAATTTGCATACCAAATATTATACACATGGAAAATACTGGATGGACAGGTCCCAAATCTGCACAGTAAAATAACAACGTACTGGAGTGAACTACATGGAAGAAAATGCAGAATAGAACCAGTGAAGAGCAGAGATGCCATGGGCACAATCAGAGAACACTGTATGAACATCAGAGGCCCACGGTTGTTCAACGTCCTACCAGCGAGCATCAGAAATAATACAGGAACAACCGTGGACATCTTCAAGAGGAAACTAGATTGTTTCCTTCAAGGAGTGCCGGACCAACCGGGCTGTGGTGGGTATGTGGGTCTGCGGGCCGCTCCAAGCAACAGCCTAGTGGACCAAACTCTCACAAGTCAAGTCTGGCCTCGGGCCGGGCTTGGGGAGTATAACTCCTAGAACCCCATCAACCAGGTATCAACCAGGTATCAACCAGATGCAGGGGGCTGCGAATGAGCCTTTGGGACCTTGGGTCCCCATTGTGAAGGCTGTGTCGCCTGGTTGGATGAGCCACTCTTTGGTAAGGCTGGAAAGTCTTCTAGTCGGTTGGTGGAAGCTGAGGTGGTGGGTTGAACGGCTTGGGCACCAGTCGCGGAGGTAGAAGGGTTGTTTCTCTTGGCTTCGACCTGGGCCTTGGTGTTTCCTGTGCGAGGGCAACGGTAGGAAATTGCGGGGTGATTGCCATCACAGAGCAAGCAACGATGGATTGTTGCCTTGCATACGGAGTAGTGATGGTCCAGTGCGCAGTTAATATATATATCATATCATTATAAATATTTAGGCATATATGTTGGATATACCCATGAGAGTTTGGAAGCCGAGATGAACAGACTGTTGGGTCAATGTCGGAAGAGATTACAACCTCTGAAAGCATTGACATGCTGTGGAAAGGGAGTGGGAGTCCCTGTGCTACGAATGATATACTTGAGTATTGTAAGATCCCTTATTGATTATCCTGCACCTGTCATTTCTTGTTTTGGTAAAGGTAGGATGGGCAAGCTGGAGAAGATACAAAATGAAGCTATGAGAATTATCTTAGGATGCCCAAGAAATGTTATGATTGAGATAATGAGGATGGGATTGAATCTGAAGAGTATTGGGGGATAGAATTTCAGAGATAAATGTAGCCTCTGCCATTAGATTAATGAGAGGCGGGGGAACTAATGAATTGGTCCTCTCAGTTCAAATGGTGAGGAGTAATGAACAATGTATGATAAAGAAGAGAACATATATGAGTACCTTATGTTCTAATGTTATAAAGTATGATGTTGTTGCAGAGTGTATTGCTCTGCCTAAGAGACAATTCACACCACCATGGGAGGATTGTAATGTAGATGTAGTAATTACTCCCTTGCAAAAGAAAAAAGTATGTACGAGATGGGAGAGCTGAGGGCAACTTATGATTATATAATTAGAAAATTACCTACAGAAAACACTCTACATGTATATTGTGATGGGTCAGTAGCTAGGGATGGGAAGGCAGGATGTGGAGTCTTGATCAGGGAGTACACTGACATCGGCACTGTAGATACTGTTATTAGCCGCCGCTTAACTGACAATGTCTCGTCAACTCAGTCTGAACTCCAAGGAGTATTAGCAGGATTACAGGAAGTAGTCAAATGTGGTAAAAATGCTTGCTTCTTTATTGACAGCAGAGGAGCGTTAGAGTCTTTAAATAGCAGACGTCCAGTTTATCAGAAAATTGTGATTGAATGTAGAATGTTAAGAAATTAGAAAAAAATGGTTATAAAGTAAGATTCATGTGGATCCCTTCACATGTGGGAATACTGTTGAATGAGGTAGTTGATGAGATAGCGAAGAGAGCCACGGAAAAAATTCTTGTTGATGTTGCATGTCAGATAACCTTGAAGTAAATAAAAACAAGAATCAAGATGATCCAAGAGGGTGAAGAAATGGTAAAGAGAATGGCAATGGTGGACAGTAGTAATACACTTAAGAATTATTCAATAATAAATACAAATTCGTCCTTCACCTATGGTAGAGGAAAGTCTACCAGGAAGGATTCAATTTACATGAGATTAAGATTAGGATACAAATATATCTGGCAATACGGTGTTGATGTCAGTGCAAAAGATAAGGAGTGTAAATTATGTAATATGCCGCACGCCCACACCTTAGAACACTACGTGTTGTTGTTGTTATAGATTCAGCTACTCGGAACAAGTTCCAAGTAGCACGGGCTATGGTGAGCCCGTAGTGGACTTACCTGGCAGAGGAGCGGTGCTGTGTGTGACTACGTGTTAGAGTGTCAACTTATTTATAACTTTAGAAATAAGGAAATAAGTAGTGTACCACATCAAATTGTTTGGAATGTGTGATAATGGTATGATAGACAGTAGACTTAAGAGCTACAAGAATTTTGCCCCAAGAGTGTAACACTTATATACTGTGCTTACTATATTAACCTGTAATGTTAAATGGGATTCTTGTAGTGTGATTTGTGTATTTGTGCGCCCTTTGAGGGACTTAGAGGGGGGGGGGGGGTAGAAATAGCCTAAGCTACTCTTTCCCTTTGAGATGTATTTTTTTCTTGTCTTAACAAACATACTTGAACTTAAGACTCCTACTGTTCGTGTAATATAACTTAAGTGTATTGTTATTCTGAGGTCTTTGTCCTTCCCTGTTTATTTTGCCATTTTGTTTTACCACCGACACATACTTTTATTACCGCCTTTCTCCATATCAATTCCCATACCACTATCTATTACAGTTTAAACCCAAACAAACCCCTCCAACCACAGGTTCAAACGTTCAAACGTTCAAACGTTTTGTTGTTCTTAACAACAACAACCCCAGCCCTTGATAAATGCGCCCCATCCCGAGCATACGTCCACGGGAGACATCTCCCGTCACGCAGGGTGCAGTCGCACCTCCACAGATCTCCAGTATCAGCTCTTGATACTGCTAATGACTCAAAAGGGCCACCACTTACGGGCTATTCATGCCCGTGCCACCTTTTGGGTGGCTTAATCTTCATCACATTGGCATAGATGGTAATGAAAAGGCAGACTCACTAGCAAAAACTGCCGCTGCTCTACATGCTGTACAGGTTAAAATACCTCCAAGTTTTTCACAGATTAAGGAGCACATCAAGAAAATACTCCCAACAATCAAAAGTCGCCTGAGCCAAAGTAGCGGAAGGAAGATCTACTGCGATATGGTACGAACAAGCCACTGGGTACTACAAGCCTGGCAAAAAAGATATCTAAGAGACACTGCAGTAGCCATACACAGACTCACACTTGGTTACAAGTGCTGGTGAGAGGTTATAAACCCAATCTAGAGGTGCCACTATTGCATTACTTACTGGAATGTGAAGCCACTGATGCCCTATGTATGAAATTCAACATTAATCCAACGACAGCAGCTGCATTAGATACAAAATCCACAGCAACTACAATGATTTGAAAAGCAGTTGAAGAATGGAACACACTAGTGAACACTGCATCTATATCTGCCACAAAGTTAATGTTAATAAAATAAAAAAAAGACTAAAACCAGTATGTGTACACTAAAACAGAAGCGAAAAAGAAACGGGAGAAAAGTTGGAAACCCCACCTCCATTTAAAACTTTGACCCAAATATCACAGTAACAAGGTTTTGGCAAATAACCGAACTCAATTACGGGGTCATTATAGCTCGTGCTACATGGACATTTCGTTCTGAGTAGCTAAATCTAAAACAACTACAGTACTCCCATTTTGTCTTACATTTGTGACTTGTTAACTTAAAACCTGTAACTCCTTGTTCGTATTATATTTGACCTTATAAAGAAGTGGTCTGGATCAAAATCCTCCAAACTGTTTAGTATTTTCAAGGTATTGATGATATCAGAGTTCATAACTTGTTTGCAGTGTTTTTAGCTCTGTGGCCCTCAATTCTTCCAGAGTGTACTTCTTTCTAGGATGATTTTTGACGTCCAGTGATTTGATTTCGGTGCTTAGTGTAGCTGCTGTCTAACTACCAGGTACCTATTTACTGCTAGGTGAACAGGGGCATCAGGGTGAAAAAAAACTTGCCCCTTTGTTTCCTCCTCTGCCAGGGATCGAACCTGCAACCTTAGGGCTACGAATCCCGAGCGCTGTCCACTCAGCCGTCAGACCCCTGTAAAAAAGCACTTGCAAGTCTTTCAATCATCTGCGGAGTTCATGTAGCTTTCTCTGCAAGGTCTCAATATCAATTACACTTTCTACTTTGCCATAAATCTTAAGTCACATTTGCAAATTGTATGATGTTTTTAATAATCTCATCTATGTCAATGATGTGTATGACAAAAAAGGTTGGTCCCAAAATTGAACCTTGCAGTATACCATTCGCCACATTTCTCCAGTCAGATTCATTTCTGTCGAGGACTTCAATTATTACAAACCAGTGAGGTGTGCTTTACAAGCAGCGCAACAACATATGGTGGGAAAAAATTCAGGTGGTTTCACTCGCCTCAGGAAAGAAAATGCCATCCTTGAGTTTGAGTTGTAATAGGGATTATTCAAATAATTTAAAAGTCACAAGACAGAAAATCTGTGGTAACTACAGGCTCAATTTATGCAGCAAGTTGGTTGGCCTGCATAAGTAAAAAAAAAAAAAGTGTGATTGGACTTGCCACAAACAAGGCAAAAAAAAAAAAAAAAAAAATATTGCAGTCCTACAAACTGAAAAACTAATATTCAATTTTCAGCATATTAAGGGCTAAGAACGTGTTGTGATGTCCCAGTCTTGAGCAGTTGCTAGTTGTACAGCTGGCCTTGTAGTTTTATTCATGACGATCTGTGGCCGAGACAAGTTTAGTTTATTTATTATGCACCTCATGCAAGTGGTAGTGGAAAAGTTAAGAAGTGCCTAATTGGTTCAGAAACCACCCCAAAATTCGCTTAGGTAAGAAAGTTAGTGCTGATGAGCTTATTACATAATTTGTTAACCACACAGTATCTTCACAGTTAAACTAAGATTACAGTAGTTTGTTAGTCGAGTCAGCTGCATACAATTATAATTTGCTCGTCATACACCCCACACCCATCCAGCATTGGAGAAGTTAGTAGCGCAAGTCCTACACGCACTACCAACAGTTAACATACTGGTTACAGCTGGCCAAAATTTAAGGTAGATTTTGAATGAAATACACATTTCTTGAAAATTTGTTATGGAATTCTCTAAATTTATTAATTTTTTGCATTCCATGACAGTGATTCAGAATGAGCAAACAATTTTGCAGAGATCTACATCAACATTTAATACAAACTCCCAGAGATACAGTACTTATAACTGAACAGCAGCAACATCCAAGAGTCTGCCAATTTTATTGCATGATCCATAGACATGACTTCTTGAATGTTAATACTGTATACTAGATTGAATAGTTAGTGCAGATTTCACTGTCTCGGATTTATAGTACAAGGTTTTGTTTAAGTTTTAGTATTTTTTACAGGACAATTTTTCATCCCAGACACATTAAATCTGTGGCCAACCTCCAAGATGCATTCATCAATTTTAATGTACTATGGATTAAAAATAGGTTTGTTTTCATCTAAATATTATCATATATTAAAGATCAATGTATAGTTAGGCATATGTTAGGTGTTTAGGTTCTGTTGGCACTTATTTGAATTTAAAGTACATGGGCGATGCATTTACAGTGTTATGGTTCGAACAGAGATCATTAGCGAAGCACTGTTCAAGAAATGTTCAACCATCCGTTGTGAATCACGTGTAAACCATTTTTCAGTCATAAATTGGGGGTTAAGTAGCTGGATTAAGGATCATTTGGCCTTTGTTGTTAAGGACCGACTGCAATTTTTTCCAACAATTGTTACAAAACAATGAAACAGATTCGAGGCTCATTAATTTAATACGTAATACAGATCTTGCCACATTTCGGTGAATACAATGTAAAACTATATTACACTAACAGAATTTAGGTTAAATTACTCTTCTCTAACAAAGAAATGGCAAAGTGTGGGTGCAGCTGGTATTAATGACAACCAGCTGTGTTATGGCTATACACCAAGCAACCACAGCAACCCACACCTATTTCATACCTGTACACTCCACTCAGTTTCACTTAACAGCACTCCAGAAGTTACCAGTTCAGGCCTTGATTAAAAAAAAAAAAAAAAAATCCCTTTTATAATATACAGTATTTCAAAAAAATCATAAACTTTAATGTTTTGATTTTTGGCCTGAGGGATTACTGTATTATATTTTTCCATTTAAATAGCTAGTCACAGCCAACCAGACAATTGCACCAACCATGCTAAGTGGGACAATTCACTTCACAAGGAGAGTTGCAATATGATGGTTAACTCTTCTCTATGGCAACTCACTGAGTACAGAGTAGATTGCAAAGTCAGTCATTAAAATTAAGAAACAGTCAGTGTTATGCAGAAAAAATGGTAAAGAAGGCCTTTATTACCTAACACACTGAAGATGTATTTTACATATATGTACAGGTAATGAATTAGCTTAAAAATCATGAAAACCACTTTGAACTGATTTAACAATCACAGTATAAAATAAGAGGATTCGAGCTTTGGTGTGGGGTGGAGGGGGGCAAATGGAGCTTTGGGGCAGAATAATGCTAACAATCATGAACCGATATTATGTAATCAAAACATATTGGTACAATTTTAATTGAATTTTTATGGCAACACCTGGATGGAAGCTAAGATTAACTAAGCCTGAAAGACAAATGCTTCCTTTTACACCTTGTGTATTTATCACACATTATCAGTGTTAATGAAACCTGCAATTAATTCCAGAAAACTATTATATCTGATAGTAATAAAGTCTCATGGCAGGTTTACTTTAATCGTAATTTATACATTAGTATGAATACAGCATTGGGTCAGCACTACCCTGTCCCAGTTTCACATTGCTAGAATCGGCCAGTTTAGCTGCATTATGCACCCACAGATAAATCTTGAAAATCCCTTATCTTTAAATTTTACCCTAGAAGAATGGCATATACATAATATAAATGTATATAGGCCATAACATTTTGCATTATGAAAAATTAAGAAAGTAAGAAAACATTAAACAAGCAATAATATTTAACTTTCAAAACATGACACTTTGCATCACATGGAAAATGTGCGCCGTGTCTAAAGTTATACCTAACTCCAGTTGCATAATTTTCCTATTTTTTTCAGCACACACAGGCACTTCTCTGAAGTCTTGGTAAAGATATTTTCACTTATTATACCTTACAAAATTGCTAGACTTAAAAATATTAACCTCTTGAGAGGCAACGATTTGCTCTGAAGATTTTGACCAATGGTCAATAGTACATTTTTTTTTAAATTCCAAGGATATAGAACACTGAGCAACATGAGCAAAATCAATTAATAGCTCAAAGTTTTTGGGCTTTAAAAAATTATTTCAATTTTCCTATAAACAGTGGTGATGCTGCAGCAATAAACATTTTAAATATATATGTATATATTTATATATATATATCTATAAAGTATATTTTGTTTTGCACAATACAAAACAAAACAAGAATGGTGACAACAGAACTTCAAGTTAGGGCTGTTCAAACTTCCATCGAATCCAGATACTTGATAGAAGAATGCTCAGGTACCCAACATTCCATAGCATCATCTAAGTGACCAACTAAAAATTATAAGGTTTTCATGCATTCAATGCATCTTCATTTGCTGGGAAAATACTTAACTCCTGAAGTGTAAAGTGATAAAAGTAATAATGTAACTGGGACACTATCATACTCAAGGTGCCATATAACCAGAAGCTGATCACTCAAAATGATGCAGTTTGGACCAGGCCACAAGCCACAACTCTTCTCCCAAACTCTCCTCCAATATCACAAATGGAACCGAGTGCTTCCGTCTTAACTAGAAAAATCTGCAAAAAACCAAACAAAAAAAGAAGCAAATTAGTTTCCATCTATGGCTTACAAATGATACCAAAATCAGAATTATTTTTTACATGCATATAAAAATAGTTATTACATAATACCAAATACAATTTATACAGATGCAATGGGGGCTGAGGGGAGGGGGAAGAGGAGAGGGGGCCCGTGCGGTGGGCGGAGGGGGGCCCCCGTGCGGTGGGCGGAGGGGGGGCCCCCGTGCGGTGGGCGGAGGGGGGGGCCCCGTGCGGTGGGCGGAGGGGGGGCCCCGTGCGGTGGGCGGAGGGGGGGGCCCCGTGCGGTGGGCGGAGGGGGGGGGCCCGTGCGGTGGGCGGAGGGGGGGGCCCTTGCGGTGGGCGGAGGGGGGGGCCCCGTGCGGTGGGCGGAGGGGGGGCCCCGTGCGGTGGGCGGAGGGGGGGCCCCGTGCGGTGGGCGGAGGGGGGGCCCCGTGCGGTGGGCGGAGGGGGGCCCCGTGCGGTGGGCGGAGGGGGGCCCCGTGCGGTGGGCGGAGAGGGGCCCCGTGCGGTGGGCGGAGAGGGGCCCCGTGCGGTGGGAGGAGGGGGGGGTCCCGTGCGGTGGGAGGAGGGGGGGTCCCGTGCGGTGGGAGGAGGGGGGGGTCCCGTGCGGTGGGAGGAGGGGGGGGTCCCGTGCGGTGGGAGGAGGGGGGGGTCCCGTGCGGTGGGAGGAGGGGGGGGTCCCGTGCGGTGGGAGGAGGGGGGGGTCCCGTGCGGTGGGAGGAGGGGGGGTCCCGTGCGGTGGGAGGAGGGGGGGTCCCGTGCGGTGGGAGGAGGGGGGCCCCGTGCGGTGGGAGGAGGGGGTCCCGTGCGGTGGGCGGAGGGGGTCCCGTGCGGTGGGCGGAGGGGGGCCCGTGCGGTGGGCGGAGGGGGGCCCGTGCGGTGGGCGGAGGGGGGCCCGTGCGGTGGGCGGAGGGGGGCCCGTGCGGTGGGCGGAGGGGGGCCCGTGCGGTGGGCGGAGGGGGGCCCGTGCGGTGGGCGGAGGGGGGCCCGTGCGGTGGGCGGAGGGGGGCCCGTGCGGTGGGCGGAGGGGGGCCCGTGCGGTGGGCGGAGGGGGGCCCGTGCGGTGGGCGGAGGGGGGCCCGTGCGGTGGGGCCGTGTCAATTTGTTAACATACTAGTACTGTAACATTCCACCAACCTATCCATGCAACTTTTCTAGTTATAAATTATAATATTACAAAAATAACCCAACTCACACGGTTAAAAGTTAACCACTAACCAGTTAAAAGTAACTGGTGTGAGTTGGGGTTTTAACAACCACATTGTCACTTATTCTCTACATAGAAGGAATATCAGAGCTCATTGACATGTGACACTATAAACTAGGAAATGTGTGTATACAACAAATGGGGGAGTGTAGTGGTGGCTGGCATACTGCAGTACTCAGGGAAGCCACTTAACCACTATCCTTTTCCTTTAACCCTCTTGGCTCTGATGGAGTCTTGTTGGGTCAATGACTGTACAGTGACAAGACACATTACAAGACAAACATTAGTCACCCTACTTTTTGTCCTTGAGTGTAAGAAACTACAGAATAGTAACCCCTATCATCACTTGGTGTAAGCCATATATAAGCCGGCTCCACGGCCGAGCGGACAGCACACTGGACTTGTGATCCTGTGGTCCCGGGTTCGATCCCGGGCACCGGCGAGAAACAATGGGCAGAGTTTCTTTCACCCTATGCCCCTATTACCTAGCAGTAAAATAGGTACCTGGGTGTTAGTCAGCTGTCACGGGCTGCTTCCTGGGGGTGGAGGCCTGGCCGAGGACCGGGCCGCGGGGACACTAAAAAAAAGCCCCGAAATTATCTCAAGATAACCTCAAGATAAGCAGTGGGCCAGAGCCCCCCCCCTCCAATTCTCCTTCCCTTCCCTTAATTTCAAGTGTCTTGCATAAATGATCTACTTAATTTCTGATAGGTACACATGCATAGAAAGCATAAATGGTAAATGACATTATTCCTTACCATTACAGTGATTATTAGCAAGAACATGCATCCTGCTTAGCCTTGTTGTCATTGGTCAGTTTGATCTGGTCAGGAAATTCATTGTACAATTCTACCTCCGACTCCTGGGCAAGGGCATTTCGGGCAATGGTCTGGAATGCCAACTCAACATTTATGGCCTCTTTTGCACTTGTCTCAAAATAAGGAACCTGTAAAATTAGGGTTTTGAGTTAAAAACAAAATCAAACTAAATTGAGAATGGAGATTCAAATACTGTAAATTTAAAATATATATATATTTTGAGCACAGCCCATCAAATGAGATATCACTGGATCAGTATATTTTTGGGGGAAAAGAAACAGAGTGCAATGATTACAGTGTGTTGTCAAGCTGCAGTAACTATTATAGAAATATAATGAACACGCATAACAAATTTATACTAGTAAACCAAATGAGTTTTAACAAGCCGGTGGGGTTATGGTTACACAACTAGATTGGAAATTTACCCATTGTCCAAGAAATACTTTAAACTTGGAACAAAATTATGCAGTTAAACCGAGCAGGAATACCAACTGCTCATAACAGCTGTCAACAAGGTAAAAGCAACAGCACATGATCTTGAGGAGATCTTGCCACATATAGGTCGTGTCTTATCTCTACCCGATGGTGCAGGGAAGTCACTTCTTGGGCCATCAAATTTACCGACGGGTCTAGTATAGGCGGAGGATCCTTCTACGGGATCAACCCTTAAATCAGTTAACCCTTAAACTGCGCAACACATCAATAGCTGTGGCGAGTAACGGTTGCAGAATTGTGCACACCAGCTATTGATGTGTTACAGTATCGTGCAAGATTTAAAGGTTCCACAGTTACATGGGGTTCACAGCTTCCTCAGGACTCTTGTAAGCAGATGTTTTTTTTTTTTAATCATGGGCAACATTCCCAAGTGTGAGAGCCTCAGTACTGAGTGAGCAACATAGTCTGGCACATGCAGCATGAGCTAACAGCACTGCTGTTCAGCTTGTGACCACAGCATTGCCAAAAAAATTAAAAAATATATACTTATGCAACTGGTATTATTTAGTGATGATAGTATTTCAGAAGACCCCCCTGACTTTGATAAAAATTATCAGGATTCTGATAATAGCAGGATTGTTGTGATAATTAGTGCTGTGCATAGTACAGTGGAAACAGTAATGATGAGGGGAGGGGGGAACTAGCTTCGTTTGCTAACTCTGTGTGGCCAACTGTTATTGTATAGAATCACCATATCAGCTCAGTGGTTCGTGATGGTGAACACAAATGTAGATACCTACATATAACATGAGTATATAGTGCAATAACAGTGCAAACAATATGGTGGGAGGAGGAATCTTAGTGAGGAAGGGAGGCAGCATCAGCTGTGTGAGGTGACCTCTGTTATTGTCTGAACTCACCATACCAGCTTAGTTGTACAGTTACGGTGAACAAAACATGTAGATACTTATATATAACGTTTGCATATAGTGAATACAAGCAAAAACAGTTTGGTGGGAAGAGGCATGTTGGCGAGTGAGGTGAGGTGAGGTAGGGAAGGTGGCGGCGTTTGCTGGCTGGTGTGTGGCGGCCACTTGTCGTTATAACTTACCATACCAACTTAGTGGTTCATTATGATGAACAAAACATGCAGATACTTTTATATAACGTCTGTATATAGTGAATAAAAGCAAAAAAAAATATAGTGGGAGAAGGAATGTTGGCAAGCGAGCTGTTGTTGAAAGAGGGAAGGGGGTGGCAGTGACTGGCAGCACCAACTTTGTGGTTCATTATGGTGAACAAAACATGCAGATACTTATATATAACCTGTGTATATAGTGTCATAACAGCAAAACTATATATTTGTTTTATGAACATAATTGGATCACTAATATACACACCATAATTTCGAGTACAGTATAGCGATGATTCCCACATTTTATAATATAAATATATTGCACTACACGCTATTGAATAATATTACTGAAAAAACTAAGGAAAAATCAACCCGAGACATTGAAATACCTGTAATTAGGTAATAATATCTTTGTGGCACCTCCCGCCTGACAGCTCTGGCAAAGCTGACCGCCTCTAATGATTGCTCTGTCAATGCCTCAATTTTGCCAGACTTCCTTGCCCTATTGCGGCCAAAATATGTCACCTACGATTTTTTCCTGTAGCCAGGGAACACAAATGAACACTTAAGAGGAATTTTTTTTTTTCCCTTACACCTGGGTGTGTTGCAGACTATAATCACAGCAGTCCAGGGGTTAAGGGTTAAGAGGGGTCATAGGCAAATCTACGCACAGTATCTGTCTCTTGCTGACATTTCGCAAGTGATGTAATGCAACCTAACAGTTAATACCTGTATATATACACCAAGCAATAACAGCTGCCTAACCCACTACTGTATGCAAAGGACAATTTGGAGCTAAAAAATGATGATTGGGAAATTACTGCATGTGCAAGTAACTGACATGTGTAGAAATAAATTTGCTTCACAGGAGTCCTAAATAGAAATGGCCACACCAAATCTTAGACAAGAAACACCACCTCAGCTCACCTGGGTCACACTTTGTGCCACAAAAATGAGTTAAATATGCATACATAAGAAATTTGTGTATTCATTCAGAGCCAGCTTATGCACACACTCACATACACAATATGTGGAATATACATCTAGATTGGCCAACATAAGAACTGCCTTTAGAAATTTGTGTAAGGAATAGTCCAGGACCTTGCATATAACCTATGTCAGCCCAATCCTGGAATATGCAGCTCCAGCCTGGAGTCCATACCTAGTTAAACACAAGACAAAGAGAAGATTCAAAGGTATGCCACCAGACTAGTTCCAGAACCAAGAGGTATGAGCTACGAGAAAAGACTACAGGAACTAAACCTCACGTCCCTGGAAGACAGAGTAAGGCGAGATATGATAACCACCTACAAAATTCTCAGGAAAATTGACAGGATGGACAAAGACAAGCTCTTTGGCATGGGTGGAACACAAACAAGGGAACACAGGTGGAAACTTAGTACCCAAATGAGCCACATAGACATTAGAAAGAACCACAGTGCAGTTTGTACCATCACTAGCATAAGATTGGGCAAACTATGGGTTTCTCTGACATCACAGGAAATGGTGGAGAAAAGGTTATTTAAAACTATTGGGAAGTCAGGTTAGGGCCTTGATCCTTCTCACTACCTACTATGCTCTACAGCTAAACTTGTCGGCAGCAGCCACCCATGATTATATAGGCAAGATGTATAAACTACCCCTTGCTGGAATAACTAGACATTGTGGCACCACACACGATATCTAAACTGACAATGCGATCACCGATCCATAGACATCCAACACGAGGTACTTGTGTCCTGGAATAAAGACAGTACATCATACCAATACTGCAGCCATGGGGTACAAGTCCAGCTGAGAGAGAACCATTCTCTCACCCTCATGTTTGCCATTAAAGAATGGATAATCACTACATTTTCATTGTTTTCTATACATTAAAGATGTACTCTCATGCATCCTAAATGATCAACATCTGTGAGTTGACAACTTCAGCATTCCATTATATAATTTTAACACTTCACAGCATTCAACAAATGAACATTTTATATATATCTGAAAATGCTTATACAATATATACAATTATTTTGGACCTATGGAATACATCACATATACTGCACAATAATTACCTAGCATTAAGAATAACATTATTTCCATCTATCACCATCTGCTCTACACAGCACTATTGTTCTCAGCAGCAACACTAAATATCTAATGAACTGAGTAGTTATGTACTGTTCAGTAGCTAGGTGATTATTAGTATTTACCAAAATTGTAAGGTAGAGACCCTTTTGGTGAAATGTACAAGTGTGTACATTTCTCTTGAATTTAGAATTCCTGCCAGTACAGTAAACAGTTCTGCACATGCACAGTACATTGTCATGGTAAAAAAAAAATCTTTACCCAAAACAGTGGAAACGTCAAGGAAAATACATCAAGTGCATTTTCATTTATTAAAGATATACTATATAGAAACAGTAGTCTTAAATGTTGAAAAGCAGCATGGAACTCTTATAAGACAGAAATGAGTAATTTGGGGATACGAGTTTGTATGAAACATTGTTGGAAACCAGTGCACAATTGCACCAGCGAACTCGTTCACTCAGGCAGCAGCAACATTGGAGATCGATCAACATCAGTGTGGCGCTCGGGTCGTCTCCTACATTTACGATAAATGCAGAAGATAAAGTCTGGTTAGCTGTGCACAGAATCAGTTTAGGCATAGGATTCTTATATTCAAGTTGTGTACATGTCCCTGTGTTGGGTTATTAAGTATTTTGGTTCGTTCATTCCAGTGTGGGTACTGTTGAATACGTGTTCCATATTCTATCAGTCTTGGTCCTTATTAGTCATTCTATCAGTCTTGGTCCTTATTAGTCATTCTATCAGTCTTGGTCCTTATTAGTCATTCTATCAGTCTTGGTCCTTATTAGTCATTCTATCAGTCTTGGTCCTTATTAGTCCAAGTGTTTAAGTGTAAAGTCTGTGTTATAATTAATATTTCACCATTGAATTGTGAGGAGAGTGCAGAGTAAAGTAACAACCTTATTCACTGCACTGCGCCAAACAACAAATGTCGTTTTGAGTGTGGTGCATTTTTTTTTTATTTAGGCTATATTTTAATGTTATTTTTTATGTTTTCATCACTATGTTTTGAAATGAAAATAGTCGAGTTTAAAAACATTTGACTTTACCTGACCATTTATAAAATCAACAAAGATATGTCCTTAACAATTGCACTATGAAGTTTTTGCCAAAAACAGGTGCGCAGTGCAGGGATTAAGTCCCAATTTGTGTGGGGCCAATATTCAAAATAATTCTAATGTTTACAGGTTCTGTGAAATTCTCTCTCTCAATCTAAGTGATCCAGTAAAGTAACTGTATATTCCAGAGATATCCTTCCAAATTTACTTTAAGCCAATTAAATAAAGCCCATTTGTAAACTTTTGACCAGTGTGATTATTGTCCAACTTCGTCTAAGATAATATTCTTTATTTCATTATTTAAGTGTAAATATTTCCTTGTGCCCCCTGACTGGGTTCCAACAATGTTTCATACAAACTTGTATCCTCAAATTATTCATTTCCATTTCTTATAGTGCCAGACTACTTTTCAGCATTTAAGACTGCTGTTTCTACATATATATTTAATCACAATGTACTCGAGATATGTATTTAGATTAAAAACAAAGCATTCCGAATTACAGACCATTGGCTTTAGTTACGTAGTGCCAATAATAAAGTATTAAGAAGGGCATCAATACAATATTAAATTTTTAACAGTTCCATGGATAAACTAACCTCATTTTTACTATGACACCACTGCTGGGCTCGCTTCGTTGATACCTGGAATAAACCAATTGATAAGTAGGCTTATGGTTTTATTATAGATACAAAAAATTTCTGTATCTTAGGATTATGTACAGGATTTTATCTTTATATAGTAATGCAATAAAATACTGTATGTAGATTCCAATATCCAATATATACTAGCAAATGTCATACGCTAAGGCTGTAAATTTCTAGTACACGAAATGCTTCTTAGGCTACTAAAATATGCACAATTCCATGTTGGATAGTTTTTTAACAATCGTCTGTCTTGGCCCAGCATGATCTATTGCGAGCATTTGAAAAAGTGCCTTTCATGCAGGGGGCAGAATTTCAACCGTAACTGACTGACTACCTCGTCCTGTTACTGGGAAGTACAGAACAGACTGCCGAAGACCCCGAGTGACACAGTTCAGAAATAAGGCCAAGAGAAATCAGAACTACTTTTCGCTCATGGCGCTGAGATTAATGTTTTGTTAGTGGCAGCCTAAGTTAATAGGACTATAATTAAATCAGAAATCATAATTTCAATATATTTGGCCTGTTTTACCATCATATCAATCACCCCCTGTAATATGACAATCAGTAACAATAGTTACAAAAATCAATACAGGATCATGTCATTCTACATACAAGTAAACAATTCTTGTTTAATAGGTCCCAAAATATAGCGTGAATAATTTAACATTGCCTTGGCTAATACTGTATTTAAAAAAACTTACTTAGGCAAGTTCTCCGTATAACAAAAGATTTAAGAATTTAAAATGTCAAGATTTACTAGTGCCAATTTATCAAGAATACAGTCTTAATTTAATTTAACACTTTCATGCTTTGGTGACTCCTGAGCTAGTCAACAATATGAGATTTATGTACCTGTGGTATATTTCATAAGTTTTCTATTTGTGAAACGTAGCCTAGCCTTAGGTCAGGCTTAAAGTGTGTTTATGTTTTATTAATAGATGCCATTTACTCTGATAGAAAAATTGAAGAGATAAAAAACTATAGTAAACATTTACACAGTATAAAGATGGCTTTTATTACAAAAATTACGAGTGTCAACTAAGCAGAGAAAATGCTTACCGCCCTATTTTCCAAGTCGATCTTATTTCCAAGAACAACAAATGGAAAATGGTCAGGATCACGTGGTGAAGCTTGAATTAAAAATTCATCCCGCCAAGAGTCTAAAGACTTGAAAGAATTAGGAGATGTGACATCATAACACAAGACACAACAGTCCGCTCCACGGTAGAATGCTACACCAAGCGATTGGAATCTTTCCTGGCCAGCCGTATCCCAAATCTGTTGGTGGTTAAATTAACATTTGAGTGACATCAATTGACTCTTATAAACAAAGTAAAAATATAAAGAAAAGGTGTACAGTATTAACATTTTGTTTCCTTGACAGCATTGTTAAATATTATGGAGATGATGACTCCCTTCCATTTAACATTTTATACTGGAATCAAATTGACAAAACCTATTGTTTATCACATCACACAATGCCATGAATCAGTAAATGCATCAAATGTTTCCGTCGAACTCAACACAAGGACATTATCATCATTCCATATACTGTACTGTAGTATATTACTAAATGCTAGCTATCTCTCTGAACAATTAAACACTGCACCCATTATTAGAAGTTCCACATAGTAAACCCCTTTACTGTCTGAAAAATGACCCCATTACAGCACCACATCTCCCAAATGAATGGATTACCTGCATAGTGACCAGTCTGTCGTCCACCATCACTTCCTTGGTTAGAAAATCTGCACCAATTGTAGCCTTGTACTGATTGCTAAACTTCTTATTAACAAACTGGTTCATAAGAGACGTCTTCCCAACCCCAGAGTCACCCAGGATAATGACTTTCAAAAGAATCTTCTTACGAGAAGCCATTATGTGCTGTAAGAAAAACAACATCCAGGAAATTAAATGTACATGTATGCAAAGCACTTTAGGAATTACTTAAAATAATTGTTAAATTATTGATAGGTTTAATGAGGGTAAACATCTAATATTATACAAGAAGCTAACATATAAATTGTCATCCACACTTCCGTGGAAATAATCATTCTATTCACCAGGGGCCAGATTCATGAAGCAGTTATGCAAGGTACGCACAAACGTGTACATCTTTCCTCAATCTTTGATGACTTTGGTTACATTTAATGAACAGTTTACAAGCATGAAACTTCCCAACCAACTGTTGTTATTGTTATAAGCAGCCTCCTAGTGTTTTGGAGCTCATTAACTGTTTAATAATTGTAAACAAAGCTGCCAAAGATTGAGAAAAGACGTACATGTTTGTAAGCGCTTGCATAACTGCTTCGTGAATCTGGCCCCTGGGCTGTATGTGTCGCGAACCCTAGACCCCACACGCGTGAGGCCATAGCACTATTGACTGGGCTATGAGTAGTCTTAATAAGAAAAGTTTCCAAAAGCAACATCCTGTTGCCAAACTGGAATTTTTTACTTTCCCTGACTACTACTGAAGCTCAGAAGAATTAGTGATCCACACCCACATCACATAAACTACTCATAGCCCAGTCGATAGAGCTTCGGCCTCACATGTGTGGAGTACAGGGTTCAAGACCCGTACAGCCCAGATGAATGGAAAGCTACCACATATTAATTGTTGAAGAAATTAAGCAAATATACAATACTGTATTAAAAGTGATATTTATGAAAGGCAAGAGACTACCGGAGGAGAACAGATGAGGAGGAGAGGGGGAGGAGAGGGGGAGGAGAGCAGGGGGGACAAGGAGGAGAGGGGAGAGGGGGAGGAGAGCAGGGGGGACAAGGAGGAGAGGGGAGAGCGGAGGAGGAGGGGAGAGCAGACGAGGAGGGGAGAACGGAGGAGGAGGAGAGAGCAGACGCGGAGGAGGAGAGCGCAGACACGGAGGAGGAGGAGAGCGCGGAGGAGGAGGAGAGCGCGGAGGAGGAGGAGAGAGCGGACGAGGAGGAGGAGGAGAGAGCAGACGAGGAGGAGGAGGAGAGAGCAGACGAGGAGGAGGAGGAGAGAGCAGACGAGGAGGAGGAGGAGAGAGCGGACGAGGAGGAGGAGGAGAGAGCGGAGGAGAGCGGACGAGGAGGAGGAGGAGAGAGCGGAGGAGAACGGACGAGAAGGGGGAGGGAAGGAGAACAGACAAGGACAGGGAAGGGAGGAGAGCCAGAAACTGAGACCATTTCAGTGGCAGTTACCATTCTCTATTAACCATAATGAGCCTCCAAGTGTTTATACCTGCATCATTCTACAGTTTAAAGATCGTACATCCTTCTGAAACCATGAGGACAAATTATATAAACAATAAGCTCTTATCTGATAAAAATTTAGATTTTACTAAGGATCATGCACCAAATTATTTAAAATGTTTGCATCGTATTCAAAGAGTTCATGTTGATTTGTGGTTTTCCTCTGCACAGTACACTACTCCAGGCATTATAAGCTTTTCAAGTTTTGGAGGGAAAGGAGCCTCTTATGGCTCCCTGAAGCTATGCACCGAGATAGTTCCAAGGTCGCATTAGCCATGGAGTTTTTAGGCCAACTGGGAACCTGTGTCATAACCTGGCTCCCCTCATGAAGGAACAGGGAATGGCAACATTTCACACCTCATTGGGGAAGGCATCCAGAAAGTAAGCAAGTCAAAACAAACCACTGCTGTGTTCAAGAGAGAGACCAGAGCCTCAGAACCAGTCTAATGACTGCAACTATGTAAATGACACCCCCAACAATGTAAACAAATTATAAACTTCTCAAAACTGGCACAAGCTCATTTGCCCCACCTCCCCCACTAGTTTGGGGCTAAGAGGGCTCGCCACCTCCTAGAGTCTGAGCTGTCAGTTCTTATGGTAATGTGGTTGGTGTCGCCTGACTTCTGTAAGTAATTATCAAAAGGAGCCAAGCCGAGGAGACTATGTATCACCTAGGATGGCAATACGAAAATAAAAGCGCATAAGGCGAGCTATATCAAAGACATCGGATTCACTAAGGATTCTATAGTGACACATTAACGCAAGGAACAGCCAGGAAGCAAGGCACTCACATCCTTTAAGTCAAGACATTCAATAAGGATATGCGCGACCATAAGAAGGTGCTTGGGGTTATAGCCTGCAACACCGCTAGGCACAAACGAAGAAAAAGAAAAACTTTCTTCTAAGATGGTTAAAATGTGTTCCCTGGTCACGGAAAAAAATAAAAAAAAATCGTAGGCGATATATTTTGGCCGCAATAGGGTAAGGAAATCTGGCAAAATTGAGGAGTTGACATTAAGCGTCGGAGAAGGTCTGCTCTGCCCGAGCTGTCAGGCAGGAGTTGCCAAAGATATTATTACCTAATTATTTCAATTTTTTTTTTTTTTTTGCAGTAATATTATTCAACAGTGTGTAGTGATATATTTATATAATAAAATGTGTGAACCATTGCTCAAAAGTATGATGTGCATATTAGTGATTCAAGCCGTCTCAGTGGCGTAGTGGTAAGACACTCGCCTAGCTTTCCGCGAGCGCTTTGTCCTGGGTTCATATCCTGGCTGCGGAGGATTTACTGGGTGCAAATCCTTAACTGTAGCCTCTGTTTAACTCTACAGTAAAATGGGTACCTGGCTGTTAAATGATTCTTCACGGGGGTCGTATTCTGGGGAACATAGGATTAAGGACTTGCCCAAAACGCTACGCGTACTAGTGGCTGTACAAGAATGTAATAACTCTTTTACAGTATATATAAATAAAAAAATAAACAAACAAATTACATTACAGTGGTACCTCAGAATACGAGTATCCCTGTATATGAATTTTTCAGAATATGAGCAGGATTTGCTCGGAAAATTTACACCGGAATACGAGCGTTGCCTCGGAAGACGAGGGTGTTGATACGCATACAGGCCGACTAGCTCGTGGTGGCACGGTGATCGTGTCTCAGTATACCAGTGCCTCGCACCCAGTGACTATCCTGCCTGAATTCCTCAAGGATTTATAGTTTGTCGGATTTTTGGCAATTTGAGCATAAAAGTTGTTATATATCTCGCCATGGGTCCCAAGAAAGCCAGCGGTAAGGTACAACGTAAGAAAATAGTTGTGAGAAGAGGCAGTAGAAGATGTCCCCTTCTTCATTAAGAAAATGTGTAAAGTATGGGAAGAACTGCAAAGTTTTGTTGAAAAAACTCACCCAGATAAAGCTGTAGCAGACCGTTGCATTAACTTTTTATATGACAATGTGATGTCTTACTACAGACAAGTGCTAAAATGTAGGGAAAAACAAGTGTCTTTAGAAAGTTTCTTAATAAGACAAGCAAGTCCTGGTGGTATGCAGGCAAAATATGCCAGAAAGTGCACACCAGTGAAGTCCTCGCTGCCTGATGTTATAATGGAACGGGGACTCCCCTTCCAAACAGTAACACCTCTCCTCCTCCCTCCTCACCATCTTCCATACGCCAACAGCAGTCATCAGCAAGGGTAAGTAATAACTTGAACATACTTTTGTAGTGTAGATTTAGATGAATTAGGTATAAAATTTTGTTGGAAGTGAGGTCAGAGACCGGGCTTCCCCATATTTAATTTTTTTTTGTTAATTGGGTTCACTGATGTGTCAAAGGTGTTTATTATGTATAATTTTGAAAATATAAGCATGTATGGCTATGTAGTGACTTCAGTACCCACTACAACATAACAGAGATCAGGAAAAATGGCAAAGGAGCAAGGGAAAGACAACCGACTGACCAGGAAAGAACTAGCGGATAAACAAGAGACCAAGCTCACTTGCGCCCTCCTTGGGTTTGTACAGATATAGAATATACGTGCGTTAATCAGTGATTTGCATTTGCTTAACCCTTGTCTAGTGGATATTAGGGCCCTAAAGATATACGAGTACTGTACTAGTACTGAATAAATATATGGACACCATGTATTTAGTCATACTAATATCTATATTAGGCCCATATATAAACTTAAATCTTAAAATTTAAATAGCACACATTTTGCCTAAATATATACTGTACATGGAAACCACTTATTTGTTGTTAAACATTTAATGTCTCCTCTATCGCTGCCCAAAATGTTCAGACACTGCATGGTGATGTTGCCAAACAATAGTCCTCATTTTCTTATGTAGGCCCTAGAAGAAAATTGAAGGACTGATATTTTTCTTTTTCTTTTTCTTATATACATTAATGATCTGCCTAATGTCTCTAACATTCTGAAACCTATTTTGTTTGCTGATGATACTACCCTCATCAACTCCAACCCCAACCCACATACACTAAATGGTGTTGTTAATAATGAACTAAAAAAAGTCCACTTATGGATGTCAACCAACAAACTAACACTTAACATAGAAAAGACCTACTACATCCTATTCGGAAGCAAATCTACAAATGCAATTCAGCTTCAGATTGACAATGTAAACATTAGCAATAAAAATGACGGAAAGTTTCTTGGCATATTCCTAGACAAGAGAGACTACTTCAGTACCCACATACAACACATAACTAAGAAAGTCTCTAAAACAGTTGGTATACTCTCCAAAATCAGATATTATGTTCCTAACTCTGCTCTCATCTCTCTATATTATGCACTAATCTATCCCTATCTCAACGATGGTATCTGTGCATGGGGCTCAACCACTGCAAACCACCTCAAGTCCATCATCACCCAGCAAAAATCTGCTATCAGAATAATATCAAATTCTGCTTTCAGACAACACACAGCCCCCTTGTTTAACTCCCTAAACATGCTAAACAATCTCACTCCACAAATTCTCTTGTGTCAACTACATTTACAAAACCCTGTTCTTAAATGCAAATCCTTGTCTGAAACTCTTCTTGGACAGATGTAATAGGACCCATTATCACCACACCAGAAATAAATATCTCTTTGATATCCCCAGAGTTAAACTTAATCTGTGTAAACACTATGCAAATAAAGGGACCCAGTTTATGGAACTCACTCCCTACTGAATTGAAAAGCTGTCCAACTTTTACATCATTCAAAATCAATACTAAAAAGTACCTAATCTCATCTTCATAGTTTTTCACTTTTTGCCTTAAAATTGCACTGTATCAATTGCTACCCAATCTCCCAACCTTTATGTTCCCAATTTGAACATCTTTACCATTGTGATCATTGCTGTTTTCTTATATGTGCTGCCAATCTGTTATATGGTGTTTATAAATCTTGTTTATCTGTATCTTTTGCTACCCAATCTGAACATCTTTACCATTGTGATCATTGCTGTCTTATATGTGCTGTCAATCTGCTGTATGGTGTCTATTAACCTTGTTTAAATTACTAATCAAGCTGTCAATGTAATCAATCAGAGCTTAATATAACAATGTGCTTTAATATACCTACTTATCTCTCTCATCTCATTTTTCTCTTGTAATGTATCTATCATTTATCAATTCTGATTGAAATTACCTACTTAAAATTATCTGCTAGATTAAGGACCTGCCCGAAACGCTGTGCGTACTAGTGGCTTTACAAGAATGTAAATACTGTACTATCCAATGTATTCTCAAAAACCCAATGTACCTTCTTGTATATATATATAAATAAATAAATAAATAAATAAATAAATAAATAAATACTGTATTTGATAGGGAATGGTTACTGGAGGCCTGAGGAAGAAAATATGAGCCCTGTGTATGTGCAGAACTATTTTAAATATTTTAAATCTGCAAATCACACACACAATTTGCACCCTCCAGGCAATTAGACCAAAATCATGTATGATTTGTACCCTCCAAGAGTTAAGAACAGTCAGTCTGCCAAGATTGGGCTCGGCAACAAAGGCAGGGTTCTACATTAAAGGTCCCCCTCGGTCAACCACGTCAGGTACTACAGTTCTACCGGTAAGAGTGCCTTCTTAATCACCCAGCAACAAAACAGAAGGCAACGGAAAGAATATTCAAGAACAGCGCAAAGTCGGCTGGAAGGAACAATTAGAAAGAAGAGGTGGGGGAGGAAAAATGAAACACGAAAAGGAAAAGAAACCAGTAAAATTTGTAAAGACAGCTGGAGAAGCACAAGGCTTCAAAAGAATAGAGGAAATGCTGTCCCATGGAGTATCACACTCCAGCTGCCCACCAAGCCCACTCACAATGGCAACTATTTCCATACCAAAATATAATGTGTTTTGAAATATCATTAAACTATACAGTACAGTATATCAAGGATGCAGCATCTGAATTATTGAACATGCAGCTAAACAGGCAAACTATTCTCTCTAGCTGGTAAACAAACTAAATTATCATACAATTGCTGTCAATTCCTGCCTTGCAACAAAATTTTATTTTGTTGATTATAACCAAATAATATGGTTAAAAAAATTAAATAAGAAGCTGTTTATACAGTATTAAAATGAAGCCCTGACATACTTTTATTCTTTAAATGAGTAACATTCTTGTTCAGTTGCCCCTTTCCATCTTTACATTCCAGTATCTTTCCTAACCTTATCTAGACTATTTGCCCACCAAATACAGTAAAGCCCTGTATTAAGAAAAAAAAGAGAGATATAATTTTAAGAATTAAACACTGCAAATCAAACTTAAAATTCCCCCCAGGTCCACACCCCTGCTCCTGCACCAGGTAAGTCCACTACGGGCTCACCATAGCCCGTGCTACTTGCAACTTTTTGTTGAGTACTGTAGCTGAATTTAAAACCACCACCACCCTCAAGTCTGCCTGTCTATCATAACTACAATGGAGCCCAAATATAATCAACTGGTGCCATATCTGCTCACTGAATACCACAACAGATAAGATCAGGAGAGATTATTGACTTAGACAGCAGAAGGTTTCGGAGGTGTTACCCTCACATGATCACCCTACAACTATTGGGAATAAATTGCATAAGAGCAACCATTTCCAGGCAGTAACCATTCCTAATATATATAATGTTCAATTCTTGGTGCAGGCACAGCCACATAATCCCCTCGTGCTGCCACTCCATAGTTACTATGCAAGTTTAACATGACATCTGTGCTGCATAACCTGCACCCATTCATAATCGGCTACACCCATCATGCAATAACAAAAGTATCTACTGGGTACTTCACCAAAGATACGGTTATATCACTAGCCATTATTACTCTAAACAATTACAATTATTATACAGCACCTATAATTATCCTGTACTGTAATACTTTTATATTTATACAAATTAGAGATGATCAAATTAGTGATTTCATAGCAGGTATAGTTCTGTACTTGTATGTGTTACAAGGCCGCTGTCTGTGCAAAGTATTTGCACGGACAGCGGCAAATCTTAACGGACAGCAGCGTACCTTAATTGTGTTTTTATTAGAACATTTTGGGGATACTATATACTGTATTCAAAACTCTGAGATGTAGCTAAAGACCCTGCATGTTGGGTATAACAACCCATGCCATAACCACCAAATTACTATCATTACATTACAGCAGAGTGATGAAGAAAAGGACTGTGGGGTCAAAATCCACCACTTGCTAAAAGTTGCACAACGGGCAGGAGCAGCAGTCAGAAAAGCTAACCAAACCCTTGGGATAATCAAGTGTACTTTTGACTTTAGGGAAAAGAAGGTAATGATTCAATTGTATAAATCTCTGTTGTGCCCGATAGCCGAGTGGACAGCGCTGAGGCTGTTCAGCAGAGGACAGCTGTTCAAGCCCCTGAGTGACGGGGGCCCTGACAGCTGAGTGGACAGCGCTTTGGATTCATAGTCTTGAGGTTCCGGGTTCGATCCCTGGTGGAGGCGAAAACAAATGAGGAGAGTTTCTTTCACCCTGATGTCCCTGTTCACCTAGCAGTAAATAGGTGCCTGGGAGTTAAGACAGCTGCTACAGGCTGCTTCCCAGGGGTGTGTAACAAAAAGGAGGCCTGGGCCGCGGGGACGCTAAGCCCCAAAATCATCTCAAGATAGCCCCCATTTGGATTACTGTATCCAAGCAGGGAGACCTTATTTTCAGGACATAGCTACTCTTGAGAAAGTGCAACACTGGGCAACAAGTCGTTCCAGAGGTAAGTCATCTCTCGTATCAGGAATGGTTGAGGGCCACAGACCTAACAACACTGCA